TGCGAGCTCTGGGCCTGCCTCTGACCCAGGTACTTTCTCAGTGCAGCAGAGCCCACCATGGGCATCGTCCTGGGCCTTGGGGGCAGTCCCGAGCAGTAGGCAGCTTTGGTGGGCCTCAGTTCCTTCTCTTACCCATGGGGGCCTTTGAGGAGATTAAGAGAATCCATGAAAAGGGTTTAACGTAGTATCTGGCATGTAGTAGGTGTTTGTTATTATTAACAAGGCACAGCTCCTTGCTCACGAGCTGCTATAGTCTAGAAAAGATATACTAAAAAAACAACGTTGTTCTAAATTGTTCGAATTCTAGGTGTTGAGTCAGGATTCAGAAAAGGCAAAGATCAAAATGGGTTTCCCATAAGGAGAAGGCCTTGTGGCAGTAGGGGTTGATCTGGGCGTTGAAGGTTGGGTAGATTTGGACTGTTGAGGAGGAAGGGTAGGATGTACCTAGTGGAATAGCATAAGCTGAAGCAGGAAGGAGTATGACACGGTGGGAGGCGGGAGGAGTCTAGAACAGATTCAGTTTGGGAAGATGTTGGAAACAAGGCTAATGAAGTCTGAGAGGGCCTCATATATCAGGCTAAGGAGTTAAATTTATAAGCTGTAAAGAATTATTATTTTTTTAGATTTGTTTTTTAATTTTCATTATAGCTTATTTTGGTAAACTTATAAGTATTTTAATATATAAATACATTTAATATCTGTATATAAAATATACATATATATTTTATATAAAAAACTAAAAAGAAAAAATATTTTTAAGAATTAAAAAAAAAGAACATTATAGTCATCCATAATCCCACTACCCAGTGGTAACCATTTTGATTTTGATTTATCTTTTTTATGTGCATATATATTTTTATAAAATTAGAATCACTGCATGATGTTTTCTTCATTTAACATGTAATAAGCATTCCCTACATCACTAAATATTCTAATAAATCAACATTTTTTATTATTACATAATTCATTGTGTAGGTATGCCCCAATTTATTTTATCAGAACCCCTTGGTGGGTAGGAAAGTTGTTTCCAATTTTTTGCTATTTTAAGTAACTATGATAAACACCACACCATTGAACATAAACTTTAGCTCTATTTCTCTCATAATCATTTCTGCATGGGATTAAGAATAATTTTTTAGAAAGAGAATTACTGGTCCAAAGAACATGAACTTTTGAAAGGTTTGACAATATAATCAAGCAGTTAAACGTGACATTTTGAGTTTTAATTTTACGTAGATTAAACAGATGTGGTAGGCAGTAAAAATTCACGGCTTCTCAGTTTCCCAGTGTCCCCTGCTTTCCAGCTCTTTAGTCTTTCACGTTGATCCTTGTGGCAGAGAGGGACACATGTCTGTGCAGGGCCTGATCTCTGCCTTCGTGACTGGGTTCTTGTGACCATCAGCCACCCACCCTGCATTCAGGTGATACACATTCCCACCTTCACCCAGCGTGTCTCATTTCCCCTGTCACAGTTGCCTGTGTCCCTGGAGTGCTACACAGGGCCTCCTGAAGACAACCTGGCTCTCCTTCAGCTCTACTTCCGGGCCCTGGTTACTGGTGCACTCCGTCCTTGCTGGTGCCCCGTGCTCTATGCTGTGGCTGTGGCCCACGTCAACAGCTTCATCTTCTCCCAGGACCCAAAGAGCTCAGTAAGTTACATCCCCATCTCCAGAAGGAGGAAGGGAGCCTGCCGTGAGCTGCCTCTGGGGAGGAGGTGAGGGCTGGGCAAGGCCAGTGATGGGTACCAGCCTTTGGCCCAGTGCCACCTATCCCTGTTCTGCCTTTAGGACGATGTCAAGGCTGCCCGCAGGAGCATGCTGCAGAAAACTTGGCTGCTGGCAGATGAGGTACGTGGGGCACATCCTGGGGGGTGGGAGAGTAGAGGGTCTTGGGGGACGGAGATCTCAACAGGATCTTACTACCCACTTCATGAAGTTTCCTCCCTCTTTGCAGGGTCTCCGGCAGCACCTCCTGCACTATAAGCTTCCCAACTCTGCCCTCCCAGAGGGCTTTGAGCTATATCCCCAGTTGCCCCCTCTGCGTCAGCAGTACCTCCAGAGACTGACCTCAGGGATGCTCCAAAATGGGGGCTCAGAGACCTAGCATAGCTGCTGCAGATGAAGAGATGGATACGTTCTCCTGGGCTTCACCAGCAGATGCCTGGCCAGACAGAAGGACTTTGTGTCCTACGGGTGGGCAGGAGACAGGAGCAGAAGGCTTGCCTTCCTGGGAGTGGCTGTTTGAGCTTTTCTGGAGCAGGGTGAGCCCCACCCTTCTGTCCTGAGATCTGGAGCTCAGGATCAGGGGCTTCTGAGGGTCTGTGCTGGGAGTGAAGGGTGACTTAGCTACTTACCCCCTCTTGGGGATGAGACAAACTAAGTCCACCCTTCCTCCCTCTCCCCCTCCCCCGCCCCAGGTCAGGATGTGTGAATGCTATAGCTATGCATTGAAATAAAAAAAAAAATTTTATCTCTTGGGAATCTGATTTGAACTGATTTCAGGTGTGTTGATTCAGGATCGGTATCAAGGGATGGGGGAGAAGTTGGACTACTGTGAGAGAGATGGGGGAGGAATCATGAGTGGGAGGTGAGAATTGAATCCACATCTGGGACAACAAAAATGTGAGTCCCAGTTCTGGAGTGGAGCCAGCCCAGGGCAGTGCTCTTGAGAATAGGGTGCCTTCTGGAAGGGCTCTCAGCAGTCCCCTTGGGGTATAGGTGTCCTTAATGAGGTCAGCATCTTGTCTTCTTGTGGTCCCCTATTTCTATCAACTGCCATCCTGGGACATGAAGAAGCCAAAAATGAGACTGGTGCAGTGGCTGTCTGTCTTAATCTGTTTAGGCTGCTGTAAGAGTGCCATAGACTGGGTGGCTTATAAACAACAGAAATTTATTTCTCACAGTTCTGGAGGCTGGGAAGTCCAAGATCAAGGTGCTGGCAGGTTTGGTGTCTGGTAAGGGCCAACTTCCTGGTTCATAGAAAGCCCTCACATGGCAGAAGGGACATGGGAGCTCTCTGGAAGCCTCTGTTTATAAGGGCACTAATCCCGTTCCACCCATAAGAGTGGAACCCTCATGACCTAAATCACCTCCCCATCTCCAAATACCCTCACCTTGAGGATTAGGTTTCACCATATGAATTTGGGGGCACACAAACATTCGGTCTATAGCACTGTCCGACAACACCCCTTCCATTGTGGACTTTATTTGTGGTTAGGCATGAGCTGGGGAGGACTGGGTCAAAGCATAAACTCTGGTTCGTCACTTCATCTCTTTTTTTTTTTTCTGAGGAAGATTCGCCCTGAGCTAACATCTGTTGCTAATCTTCCTCTTTTTTTTCTTGAGGAAGAGTCACCCTGAGCTGTGCCAACCTTCCTCTGTTTTGTATGTGGGTCGCTGCCCCAGCATGGCTGACAAGTTGTATAGGTCCACACCTGGGATCTGAATCCATGAACCTGGGCTGCTGAAGTGGAGCATGCTGAACTTAACCACTATGCCACAGGGCCAGCCTCATCACTCTTTCTTTTGGTAGAGTTTCCAGGTTGTTCTTTTGTCTGAATTCTAACACTTAAGCTTTCTTACAGCTTCATTTTCTGTGTGGAATTACTTATCATCATGTTTATGGATATCAGGCTGAGTGTAGAGTGTCCTGTAGATAGAACTCACTTCCCATAAATGGAGCTGCTGAACACAGAATTATACAATAGGTTTTATTAAGCAACTACTGTATCTGCAAACAGCAATAGTTCTCAAACTTAACGTGACAAAAATCACCTGGAGAGTGTGTTGAAACAGATTACTGGGCCCTACTACCAGTGTTTCTAATTCAATAGGCCTAGAGTGAAACCCAAGAATTTGCATTTCCAACAAGTTCCCAGGTGATGCTGCTGTCCAGGACCAATCACACTTTGAAAACCCTTGGCTTACAGGGGCCCTGCTAAGTAAATTCTGTGACCTCATAATGGGACATCTACAGAGTTAAATAGGGCATGGGGACCAGAGTTTTTACAAAATCACTGTTGTGTCTACACCTAGCCCTTACACTCAGAGACTTTACCAAGTAGCTAACTACTATAACTTCTTTTCTGCAGTGTTTTACAGTAAACGCAGGCCTCAGTCCTCAAAATTAGTATTTAGAGCACAAGAATGAGGACCCAAGACACACAACCACCCGAAGGCTAGTGGCCCTCACAGTTGTGGGGTGCCTTGTGGGCTACAGAGCAGTTTCTTTTTGTAGAATTTTTCAGGTGGTGGGGACACTGTCTCCAAGCAGTGGTGACCTGTGCGCCATCACCTGTTGGCTAGGGACACTAGTACCAGCAATCGGAGCTGCTGACACCAGGCCCAGGCCTTCGCCTGCCTTTCACAGCACAGTGAGAAGTTGTGCAGAGTTAACCCAGGCAACAGAATTGTATGAGGTGAACGCAGAGATCTATGTTCTTAAGGGTGTCGGGCGGTTCAGCCTGGCAGTCACAAAAGCCCTGAAAGACACAAGTAATGGCAAATAATGATGCCTTGGGGCAGTTTAAAGAACACTTTCCATGTGTCACCCCCACACCCCACCCCGAACCCCCACACACCACTGCACCACCACCACCAATGGAGCACACACCACACCACTCCTGCTGTGAGAGACCTGGAAGCTGGTGCAGGGTGTCTGGGGTGTGACTTGCCACTTTGTCAAAAGTGGTGGCACTTCCTTCCTACCCTCATAGCCACTACATTCCCTGGGGCAGCCAAAAGCAAACCCAGTGGCTCCAGGCAGAGAGCCCTTGGATGGAGGCTCTGCAAGGCCTGTCCAGGAAGGTGGGGACCTTGCTGCCCACACGCCCCGCCCTTCCCTGCCCAGCATCCCAGGGTCTGAGGTGGGTGTGGTCAGGCCGGCTTTAGGACCTGGCGGTGACTAGCGAGCGGCCGTACACTCCTATAGGCGGCAGTCCGGACCGAAGTGGCAAGGTCTGAGCCTACCTACATCCCTAGCTGCGGCGGGCTGAACAGGCGATGGGCCGCTCGGGCTGGCTGCTGCTGTGGCTCGGAGCCGCGGGTAAGTGCCTTCTAGCAGTCAAGGAACCGTCCAGCCAGAAGCACCTTCCTAGGGTTAGGGATGGCGGTCGCGACAGACCGAGTCCCAGTGGCTCCTCCAGAGGCCTCCACCCGTCGCGGCCAAAGCTCCCAGGCCCGTGTTCCTAGAGTGCATGCTGAGAAGCGCGGTGCCTGCCTGAATCCCGGACCCGGATCGTGTCGCTTGGGAAGGAGGGACAGGCCCTGGGGTCTCAGCGCCGCCTGTGGGCGGGACCGCCAAGCTAAGTGGAGGAAAGGATGGGGTGCCTGCAGGACTGAGGTCAGTGCGGCCCCCAAGTCATCCACTGGGAAGGGCTCTCCAGGGGAGAAACTTGCGGTATCAGTGGGCATCTTGCGGAGCCTCGGCGACCAGAGCTGCGTCTTGGCCGGCTTCCAAGCGCTGGAGTGCGCTGGCTAGGTGGGGTCGGGGGCGTGGCCGCAAGAGGCAAGGGCTGGCTGTCGAGAGGTTCTATTTTCCGTCTTCCATTAACATCCTGCCCCCTCTCCCAACCCTGCTGTCTCCCCGTCACCTTTCAGGCACAATTCTCTGCTCCAGCTCGGAATCCCAGGGGCCTTTTCTGCCATCCTCGCTCCTGCCGCTGCCAGCTCCAAGCCCCCGGGTCCCGAATGTCACGGCCCCACTTACCGGCTCGGAGCCAGCCTCTCCCCTAATTCATCGAGGTGAGCTCCGAGCTCCTTCCTCCCGTCTGCGCTCACCACGCCCAGGCCTTCGGGCCGGGCAGGTGCTCTACGACCCTTCCCTCCCTCCCTGCTCTCAGGCACCCACGGGCCCTGGCGGTTCTCCACCTGCGGGGCCAGTGGTCCGCGCGGGCCCACACAAACACAGTGCGACGGGGCCTACGCCGGCAGCAGCGTGGTGGTGACAGTGGGGGCCGCCGGGCCTCTGAGAGGAGTGCAGTTGTGGCGGTCGCCCGGCCCCGGCCAGTACCTGTAAGTGGACAGCAGGGATGGAGGTGGGCGGAGCGCTGGGAGTCGGAGGTTCTGCGGTCAGAGGAACCAAGGCCACCTGCGCACCACATTGCGTCTTAGGGCCTTCCGCAGAGACCTGCGGAACGGGCGACCTTGACTGTCCCTTCTTCCAGCGGAACCCGGGGAAGGGTCGCAATAGTCGCCACCGAGTTAGCTCGTACCCGGGAGCCTTTCCCGGCCAAGCACAGGGCCCCAAAGCAGCGGCGGCGCCAAGGGAAGTCTCCTAAAATAAGTGTGCAACTCTCCTAACTTTTCGGTGTGCAAACCTAGTCTCCCCATCCCTTCAAAATGGACTGCGGCCTCTAAGGCCTTCAGATGAGAACTTCTGGAGCCTCCTCTGTCACAGTCTCTGCCCCGGGCGGGCGGCCTGAGGACCGACGGCCGGTGGTCGAGGGCCGTGGACTCAGCGCCCGCTTTCCGCAGGATCTCAGCCTACGGCGCGGCGGGCGGCACAGGCGCCAGAAACCACCTGTCGCGGGCGCACGGCGTCTTCATCTCGGCCGTGTGCTCCCTTCGTGGTGGGGAGCCGCTTTACATCCTCGTGGGGCAGCAGGGAGAGGACGCCTGTCCGGGAGTAAGCCGAGCCTGCGGGAAGGGGGCGGTTCAAGCGCCCCAGGGCGAGGGCGCGGCGGAGGCAGGGGTTCTCCTTGGTACAGAGACACCAGCCCTTCGAGGCGGGGGTCCCGCGCGCGCTGACTCCGGCGCGCGGTGCCCGCAGGGGAGCCCGGAGAGCCGGCTCGTCTGCCTAGGAGAGTCTCGGGCTGCTGAGGAGCACGTGGCGACGGATGGGACCGAAGGGGTCCCGGGGTCGCGGCACTGGGCGGGAGGCGGCGGGGGTGGCGGGGGCGCCACCTACGTCTTTCGGGTACGTTGGGGTCCCAAACCTCTTCCCGCGGGCGCGCACACACGAGCTCTCCGTATGGGCTTGGGGGTCCCCATATCCCGGGGCCTGGCTGGGCCCTCGCCCGGTGCCGGGTCCTCTTGACGGCCGCTGGCCCCGTAGCTGCGCGCCGGCGAGCTGGAGCCGCTGCTCGTGGCGGCCGGAGGAGGCGGGCGGGCCTACCTGAGGCGGCAGGACCGGGGCCGGACGCAGGCAGCCCCGGAGAAACTGGAGAACCGCTCGGCGGCGCCCGGGAGCAGCGGGAGAAGCGGGGCGGCAGGTGAGGGCGCGGGGCCGCGGGGGAGAGGGACGTGGTCCCCATCCGAGGCCGGCCATCCTGCTGTCTCTCCGCAGGTGGAGGCGGCGGCTGGACGTCGCGGGCCCCCTCTCCGCAGGCCGGCCGCTCCCTGCGGGAGGGGGCCGAGGGCGGCCAGGGCTGCGCAGAGGCCTGGGCTACGCTGGGCTGGGCAGCGGCCGGAGGCTTCGGGGGCGGCGGCGGGGCCTGCACTGCGGGCGGTGGCGGCGGCGGCTACCGGGGTAGGTGCATCCTTGGGGAGGGCAGCGGGGAACCCTGGGTGAAGTGAGGTTAGAGCCTTAATACAGGCAGGAGTCCCTCAAAAGGCTAAGCGGGAAAGGCATTAGGCCTCGCTCCTTCCAGGCCAGAGCAGGTAGAGTAATAGCTCTTAGGAAAGGAGGTCACATAAGTTGCAATTCATACATGCAGAGAGAACTCCTTAGATTTTCATTTAAATCCAGGACCTTTTCCATCACAACAGATCCCCTCCTTGTTCTGCAGCAGCCCCAGAAGCTTAGAGCTGGCTGAGTTAGCAAGCTGGGCAGGCAGGCAGACAGGCAAGGATGGTTTAAGTCAGTAGTTCTCCAAGTGTGGTCCCTGAGTCAGCAGCATCAGCACCACCTAAGAGCTTGTTAGAATTGCAAATTCTCAGCCCGCCTCAAACCTACTGAGTCAGAAACTCTAGCGGAGGGTCCCACCATCTGTGTTTTTATCAATCCTCCAGGTGATTCTAATACACTCCAGAGTTTGGAAACTGCTAGTGTAAAGAAACAGAGCCTTTGTGTCTGTCTGGGCTGTACTATTCATACATACTTTATACACATCATCTGCATTATCACAGAAGGGGAATATGTGGGTTGGGCCTCTCCCATTTCATAACTGAGGACGTGGGACCAGAGAGATTCAGACAGACAAGGAGCGTCCCAGCCCACCTGAGCCAGGCCTTCAGGTTCAAGCTGGTTACTCCCTCCCCACCCCCCACCCCCATCTCTGGCCTCTTGGCTCCCAGTTGTGAGCTGGCAGCACCTGTATTGTAATGCTAGTGTAGACAAGGTCACACTGGGATCTCCACTGGGAGACTTCAGCTTCCCCACTGTTCATAAGCCAGCTTCCCAGCTGTGAGGCAGCTGTGTGCTCCTTCCTCCCCCCATTTTGTAGCCAAACCTTCTATCACTTTTAATTTCCAGGGGGTGATGCCTCAGAGACTGACATCCTCTGGGCTGATGGGGAAGATGGGGTGTCCTACATACACCCCAGCAATGAGCTCTACCTGCAGCCTCTGGCAGGTATTGGCCCCTACCCCCCACCTTTCAGCCTGGCCTAGCCCTTTTCCTCAATCCCTGAGCCCACACCCATCTGAGCCACCAACTCTGCACTGTGAACTACCTGTTCTTGCACAGCACAGGAACACCTGGGAACTGGACTGCCAGTTGTGATGCTGGTATGGGGCATTCTGGGGTGCTTGTCAAGTATCTCCTTAATATGAATTTTCCTCAAAAACCTGGGAGCTCAAGGATCCCAGAAGAGGGAGTATGCAGGCTTACCAAAAGTCCCCCAAGCCCTCCCACCATGGTTAAATGCCAGGCCTTGTTCCCAAGTTCGGGGCTAGAATTATCCATGTAGCTGGAAAAAGTGTGTATGCTCCCTGCCTCCCTCTGCAATATCAGTTCTTGTACTCATAGTCACGGAGAACCACGGAGAGGTGGAGATCCGCCAGCACTTCAACTGCAGTCACTGCCTTCTGAAAGACTGCCAATGGCAGGGGGAGCTCCAGTGGGCCGAATGCATGTGCCCAGAGGGCATGGAGCTGGCTGCAGATAACATCACCTGCATGGGTATGGCCTGCCTTTGTCCAGGGTCTGGATTCCTGGGGCCCTGGCCTGGGAGGAGCTACAGGGCACTGGGAAAGATGCCTGCTGTGTGCCAGGCACCAGGTTGGGTACTGGGCAGGGGACTAGAGGTGCAACAGGGCATGCTCTGCCTTCAAGGAGCGTGTAGGCTAATGGTCTAATGTGGAGGGGAGATATCTACATCTATGTCACATCTGCATATCTAGAGCTAGAGCTAGATCTGTCTCATGGGGACAGTTGCCATGGGAGGTGTAAAGTGTGTTAGGGGTTCTCAGGAGGCAGAAGTTGTGTTTGTCCAGGATAAGTGGGGAAAGCATCATGGAAAAGTTAACTCTTGAGCTGAGTCTTGAGGCGTGGCTAAAACTTGGGGTGGAGGGACAGAGAGGAGCTTCCCACTGGAGGTGTCTCTCTTTCTCCCTAGACCTGCCCACCCCACCAGGCCCTCTGGTTCTGATGGTGGCTGTGGTGGTGACCTTGACACTGAGCCTCCTTATGGTGTGTGTGGTCCTGATTCTGGGTATGGAAGCATCCAGCAAGCATGGCTGATTCAAGGCTGCCCACCTCTCCACTGAGCTGTGATGAGCTTCTGTGGGGTCCCAGTGGCAGACACGGTTGATTTTAAGACCCCTACTCCCAGCAGAGTAGTGATGGGCTCCTCTGGGTTTCTAAGAGTAGAAGCAGCTGGGGAGGCCTGGGGGAAAACATTTACCTTAATGGGCATCTGGAGAGGGGTCCTGGGCAAGGGGAAGCAAGGCAGAGTGGGCCTGATGGGCAGGTAGAGAGTGTGCCATTGTCCCTCCCACCCTCAGTGAACCATCAGAAGTGGCAGGGCCTATGGGGGACGAGGCTGCCAGGCCCTGAGCTCATGGAGCTGAGCAAGCTTCGAACCTCCACCATCAAGACAGCCCCCAACCCCTACTACTGCCAGCTGGGGCTTGGCCCGGCCCAGTCCTGGCCTCTGCCCCCAGGGCTTACCGAAGTTTCCCCAGCCAATGTCACTCTGTTCAGGTGAGTTCTCCCCCTCCTTCTGAGAACCTGTGCTCTGAATCCCCACCCCCAATCCCATTCCCTCCTGTGGTGAATTGTGGATTCCAGAGAGCATCTGGCCCAAACCCCTTGTGTAGAGGAGATGGAGGCCAGAGAAGCTCCAAAAGGGAAAGTAACTTGTTCAAGGTCAGCTGTCATCCCCAATTCTGGGATGGTAGGAAGCCTAGAATCTGAGTCCTTTGGAGCAAAGGTTGCCTCCTCCCCAGGGTGTCTGCAAGGACCTAAAGGAAGGCCTCCCCACAGACTCCCAGACCCACTCTGACCCCACACCTGCCTTCTCTTCTGCCCTGGCTCTGTGCGTAATACGGCCCCTGCAGAGCTTGAACTTGGGGACATGCCATGGTGCAGAGAGAGCTCAAATCCTCAGATAGGGCCACCTGGGCATATGGAGGGGATGGGAGGTAAGGAGGCACTAGACCCTCTAGGACCCTTCCCATGGCCCAGGCACCCACGCCCTTCCAACCTGTCTTCCTGCAGAGCCCTGGGCCATGGTGCCTTTGGAGAAGTCTATGAGGGACTGGTAACTGGCCTTCCTGGGGACCCCAACCCCCTGCAGGTGGCTATCAAGGTGAAAGGGGGCAGGACTTCTGGCTGTGGGTAGGAGAGCAGGGCTCTGTGGAGGGAGGAGCAATTCCTGGCACTAGGCTTCAGCCCGCCCTCCTGAAGTGTCATGAGCTCTGTGCTCTTTTGCTCCCAGACTCTGCCAGAACTCTGCTCTCCTCAGGACGAGCTGGATTTCCTCATGGAGGCACTCATCATTAGGTGCACCTGGGGCCGGGGTGGAAGGTGGGAGGGAGGTGCCGGGAACTGCCCGCAGGAACAGCCTCTCTTCACCCTGGGGCTGAGAGGCAGCAAGGCTAGGGACACAGGTCCTCTCTAGTTTTGTGGAGCCTGGAGCATGGTTTCTCTCCCTGCTGGTGATGGGGTATGTGCACCACTCACTCAGCAAGTTCAGCCATCAGAACATTGTGCGCTGTGTGGGGCTCAGCCTCCGGGCTGCCCCTCGCCTAATTCTGCTGGAGCTGATGTCTGGAGGGGACATGAAGAGTTTCCTGAGGCGCAGTCGGCCGCACCTGGTGAGTCCCTTCTCCCAGCCCTTCAAGCCCCTCTAAAGACCCTGACCACATGTTCCCAAACCTGCATGGACTGATGTGCCCTCTGCCCGACCCAGGACCAGCCGTCACCTCTGGCCATGCAGGATCTGCTCCAGCTGGCCCAGGACATAGCCCAGGGCTGCCACTACCTGGAAGAAAATCACTTCATCCACAGGTTGGATGTGATCTTGGTTCAGGGGACCCCCCAGCCCAACTTCCTCCCCAAGGAACAGCCCTTCCACATAACTTTTAAGGAACAAGATCAGGGCTGGAGCTTCTGAGTTCCAGCTGTGATTTTTTTTGCCCAACTCTTCAGGGACATTGCTGCCCGGAACTGCCTACTGAGCTGCACAGGACACGGTCGAGTGGCCAAGATTGGGGACTTTGGGATGGCAAGAGATATCTACAGGTGTGGGGCCTGGGGAGGTGGGGAAGGCTGCTGCTCCAGGGGAGTTTACCAGCACCCAATGGCATCTGAATGACTCATCACTCCCTTCTTCCCTCCTGTAGAGCCAGTTATTACCGAAAGGGGGGCCGGGCTCTGCTGCCTGTCAAGTGGATGCCCCCAGAGGCCTTCCTGGAGGGCATCTTCACATCCAAGACGGACTCCTGGTGATAACACGCCCTCCTCCCTCCCCTGCCTTGGGCTACCTCATGTGAGGGAAGGGGAGACTGCCTGATGGGCTTCATTTGATCCCCCCACTCATGATGCAGGTCTTTTGGGGTGCTGCTCTGGGAGATCTTCTCACTGGGCTACATGCCCTACCCTGGGCGCACCAACCAGGAAGTGTTGGACTTCGTTGTCGGAGGGGGACGGATGGACCCTCCCAGGGGCTGTCCAGGGCCTGTGTGAGTATGGAGTGTTGCCCAGAGAAGGCGGTCCTTCACAGCCACTGGTGGGCACGAACTCCTGCCTTCCCCCAGGTACCGTATCATGACCCAGTGTTGGCAGCACCAGCCTGAGCTCCGCCCCAGTTTTGCCAGCATCCTGGAGCGCCTTCAGTACTGCACTCAGGTGTGCCCCTGACCTGCCCTGACCATCCTGGTCTTGGGGGTAAGGAGGGAAGCCATAAAACAAAGCTGTGGCCCCCTTGTGGCCCCCTGCTCCTCTACCCTCCTATTACAGGACCCTGATGTGCTGAATTCACCCCTGCCAATGGAGCTTGGGCCCACCCTGGAGGAGGAAGGAGCTTCTGGACTGGGGAGCAGGTCTTTGGAGGGCTTACGATCCCCACAGACCCAGGAACTGAGTCTGGAGAGCTTGAAGAGCTGGGGAGGGAGCCTCCTTGGCCCCTGGCTGCCCTCTGGCCTCAAGCCCTCCAAAATCAGGGGCCTCCAACTACAGAACCTTTGGAATCCCACCTATGGCTCCTGGGCCCCAAGGGGCCCTGAGGGTGAGGACTCAGGCATTGACGGTAGCAACAGTTCCTCTCTGCACTCCTCAGGCTTCTAGGTGGCTTCTTATTTCAGTAGCCTCTGTCCCCTGCAGTCTGTGCTGCATGTCTGGGCCTGTCTCAGGGCTGGCCTGGCACCACTGGAATCTTCATCCTGGTAACCAGCCCCAGGCCTCCTGCCGAAGAGCTTGGCCACCCCCAGACTTTGATCTTGGTGACTAGAGGCCACCCCCCTGCTCCAGGTGTGGGCAGGGAGTTGAAATTGCCTCCTGCAGGAAGCCAGCCTCTGGACTGCCCTTTCCTCATGAGAGTCCTTCGCCTGGGCAGCCCCCAGCCCTACAGATGCCTCTAATAAAGAGCTCTTCTCATATCCTCCAGTGGTCTGAGTGGATGTGAGGGATGCAAAGGAACTAAGAAAGAGGGGACCAGAGGAGGGGGGAGGAGACCTGAGTTGCCAAAGCTGGTGTCTTTCTTTTATTGGGAAGGGGAGTCCATTGTAGTGTGGGAGGTTAGACCAATAGATCTAGTGCCTGCGAAATAAAATTCATTATCTGGCCTCTCTGGAGGGGTATGGAGCCCCTTCAGAAGAGCTGGGCTGAGGGAGAAGCCCGTTGTCCCACTCTACCCCGCCCCTCCCCCTTTAAATTAGTGTCATCCGCTCTGGGAACGCTGAGGCTTGTATGGGGAACAGCCCCCGGCACGTGCAGTGCGTCCCGTCGTGGTTGGCACCTGGCCCTGCTGGACCGTGTGAACCGCCCCCGCACCGCGGGGTTTCAGTCTCTCGCCCTCATGCTCTGCGGCGGGGACGCAGCCGCAGGTCCATCTGTCAGACCAGCCCGGTCCACGCGGGGACAGAGGCCCAGCCTCATCTCTCGGCCAGGCTGGCAAGGATGCCAATGAGATTGTCCAGCCCCAGCAAATAGCCGTCCTCGCGGTTGCCCTCCTCCCAGGGCCGCCGGTGGTCCAGGGTCTGGCCGTTGGGGAGGGGCGTGGTCTTGCCGAAGTCGATGAGCCACACACCGGCGCGATGGCAGTGATCATGCACGAAGAGGAGCGAGCTGCCTATCACCTGCCGAGCCCCACACAGTCAGGCCACGGGCCCTTTCCCGGAGCAGCCCCCCATCCTGTTCCCTCTGTAGACCCCTCACAGACCACAGACCAGGCACCTGAGGGTATCCCACTTACCTCATGCCTCCTAAAAAACTCGGAGACCTCCAGGGTGTCCCGGATCTGCTGCAGGCGGTTCAGATACCTCCTCTGGAGAGGGTAGGGTAGGAGAGGAGGGCAAATTAACTAAACGCCAATTGAGCCTCTGCTAATGTTAGGGTCCAGGATGGCTGCTCGGCTTGGCAAATACCGTCATGAGGAAGACACAGGCCCCCACGTGGCGCGCAGCCCGGAAGAGCAGGAACGTAAAGCAATTACAACACAATGCGATAAACGCTACCATAGGGGTCACTAGGCGAGGGCACCCCTCAGTTCCAGGCTCCCCTACATCTCATGGTTCTAGGATCTAGCGCTCACCAGCACTTCTGCATCCCCTTGCACAAACTCCTCAAAGACGCGGATCACCTGTTCCCGGCTTCGCGTGGTCTTGAAGTCGGTGCTGCAGGATCCGTCAGCTTTCTGAAGGAGGTGGGACAGGAAGTGTCAGGGGCCCCGTACCCACCCGAGGGGAGAGGATCAGGTTAGAGCCACGGTACCTCCCGGGACCTTTGCTCCCAGGGACAGCAAGACGGCCGCCAGAGGGTGCCTCTTCATGGGCTGGGGGGTTGCCAGGAGGGCTGGAGTGGAGGAAGGGTCGGGGCGGTGCAAAGCGAAGCAGGCCTGGCCTACCTTGATGCCCTCGATGCGGAAGCCAAGCGTGGTGCTGGAGCTGATGCCTTCTCGCCACTGCATGTAGCGCGGCTTGGTGACGGCGCGCTGCGCGTGCTCCTCCTCGGTGGGCGCCGCAGGGTCTACCGCCAGCATCTTCTTGTACATGTCCTTCCGCAGCTTGGGCCGCTCGCGGGCTTTGGTCAGCTCCTCTTCCAGGTAAGTCCTACCGGGGCGAGGCAGCGGCGGGGCGTGAGTGGGGGCACACATGGACCCCGTCGAACTTGACCTTGGACACGGGGTAGAGCGCTCGTTCCAGCCCTGGGCCTCCCGCCCGGTCCCCGCCTGGCCCGGCAGGGCCCGCGTACCTGACTCCCATCTTGCAGTCAAGTACGCAGGGCCCATCGAAGCCGTCGAGCAGGTCCTGCAACTGCAGGTAGCTCTCGCCATCGCGCTCCACCACGCCGTGGAAGGCAGGCACGCAGCCGCGCAGCGCGTCCGCCATGAGCCGCGCCAGGCAGTAGCGCTCCGGCTCGGAGCTGCGCTTCAGGATCAGCCCGCTGGTGCCCGCCGCCTTGAAACTCCCTGCAGATGGGCGTCAGTTAGCGCCGCCTAGTCCCTTCTTCCTCCGGACAGCCACCCTCCCGACCCGCGCCTGCCCCGCGCTCACCTGTGTGCCCAGCCAGCTGCACCCAGGCGTAGCGTTTCTTGAAAGGGCTCATGACAGGCAGATTCACCATGGTCCGGATCTTCTGCCAGTGGCTTTTCTGAAAGCAACACGGTCGCGGTCTGCACGTCGACGTCTCAGCAATGCATACGTCCTCCCTCTGGAACAGGGTCTCGCCCTGCTTCACCCCACCCCACCCCACTCCACCCCACTCCACCCCAGCCCACTGCAAGCAGCTAGGGCCAGATGATTCATTCATTCATTCAAAGAAAGTTTACTGTGAGCCTGTGTGGCGGCACGGGGTGGTGACAGATATCCAGCTTCTCGAATGTGCTGAGAAGAGCCCTGGGCTTAGCCTCAGAAGGCTCAGGTGTGCACCCCAGTTCTGCTGCTCGAAAGCTGCGTGGGCAGGTTATTAAACTGCTCTGTCGAGGTTTTAGAACTTTTGTGAGCATGAGAATCGCCTGATGGTCACCTTTAAAAATACAGATTCTCAGGTTGACCACAGGGAAGTAGGTCTAGGGTGGGACCAAAAATTTGCATTTCTACCAATGCCTCAGGAGATTCTGAGGCCTGAGAAACAAGCCCCTGGGTGTCAGTTTCTTCATCTATAAAATGGGGAAATAACCTCTGGGTTGTTGTGAGTAGTAAGTGACACTTGAGTGTAACAGGCTCCTCTCACCCCATTCCTCGGCATGAAGCAGAAGCTGGACAAATCTGGATTATTGATTCATTCACTTGGGACCATCGGTTCCTCTCATTTAAGGAGACAGACAAACACAGAAAAAAACCTTTACAAAGGCCCAGGGCAGGGAGGTCAGCCTGGCAGGGCCTGGAGAAAGAATGGCTTGGGACTCCCCGAGACCCTCTTGGTATGTCTGGATGCGGTGTCACTCCTTGCCAGTTGGCAAGGCCCAGGGCACCCTTGCTCTTGATCTAGACTCAGAAACCTGAGTTTTGAAAACAGGATGCAGGGCTGAGGGCCTGTCATCTTAGGTGAAACTGGGAAGGAAATGTAGATTTTGGTGTATTTCTTGCCTCATGACCATTGCTTCTGGCCTCCACCCAGTCCTGAGAGCATCTCATACTCTGGACCTTTCCTCTACCCACCCAGATCTCATCAGTCCTGTGTCTACCCTCTGAAGTACACAGGTTTGCTCATCCACACTGTGTGCCTGTCTTTTAGAGGAGTTCCACATGTGTGCCCCCACAGGGCTGGAACCCAGAACTCCAGCCTCACTGACCACAGAGAGTTCCAAGAGTGGGAGGGAGAACTGAGGCAGTGGCCTAAGCAGGGGAAGGCTGCTGCCCACGAAGCCCTTTCCCGTGGGAGAAGATGGGGGTTAGTGAGAGTACTGGATGGGTAGTCAGGAGTTGGTTCCAGTCCTGGCTGTGTCACTTTCTAGCTGAGTGAACCCAAGTGAGAATTTCATCTGTGTGAGCTTGTTTTCTCTGGGAGGACATAGCTGCTGCCATAACCCAAGGCACCGTTTACTGATGGCCTACTGCATGCCAGGCACTTCTCATCCTGCATCAGTCAGCTTTGCTCCTGTTTTCCTACTGAAGTCCCTACATGGCACACCAGGGTGTGATCACGTGTTCAATCCCCAGGGATCTGGGGGTGTAGCCAGAAGCAGCCCACTAGAAGCATGACATCTCGTTCAAAATTCCCTTTTTACTCTTTAAATATATGCAAGGTTTGCATTATGCTGCATAATAAATCCAAGTTTTCTTCTAAAACTCCCACTTCCAAATCCTCAAATAAAATTCCAGGAAGAAGTATGTGCCATGTGTACTCAGCAGCACCATCCTATACTCTCTTCCCCCACACTCATGTGAGAATCAGGAGGATGATGATGATGCACATGCATAGCCAGTGCATGAGGTGGGGGTGTTATTGCCATTTTACAGAAGGAGACCAAGGCTCGAGGAGTGAGCATCCCCTCACTCACTGCCTCCACCCCCCTAGTCTCTGGCTTAAGCTCTCTACCAGCCCAACCCCCTCCTCATGTTCCAACTGCCCCAGCAGCTTCCAAGTCCATGTTACCACCTGACTCCCTTTGGGGGTCGAATGGGACCTGACAGGAGAGAGAGCTTTGTACAAGGTGAAGTGATTTGCAGCCACAAGGTGGTGTAAGTATTTTCATCCCTGGGGAAACACTGAGATCTGCCTTGGGACCCCTCTCTGTTGACTGGACGCCTTTGCCTTCTTCCAAAGGAACGAGTTTAATGGTGGGGCTTCAGGCAGCTTTAGGGACCTACTGTCATAATTTGGGGGACAGTAGGACTAGAACAGACTTAGTCAGAGGGTACATCTAGTTCTACAGCCCCCGCAGTGGAAGAGGGAACCAGCCCTGGGTTAGGTGAGATGGGATAGCAGCAGCATCCTTTCTTCTGGGATCATGTGGGAGCAGTGAGTGGGGCTGGAAGGTGGAAGGTGGGCCTGGTAGAAGAGGATTTCGTACCCGCAGTCCTGGGCTGCTGGCACTTTATTGACGTGTGATGATAACACAGCATCATCACTTGCTCCCGAGATGAGGTAAAATGGGGTCATCACCGACTCTCCCTATTTTGTGAGGATCATATTAGCCAACAGCAGTGAAGACTAAGGCTGGTTCCAGCCATGCAGGTTACATAGGGCTTTCATACCTGTCATGTCATCTGAGCCCTCTTAGCCACCTCCCGAGGTTGGTATCACCGGGTTTAGCTCCCCAGCCAGTAATGGATATGGTCAAACATGGAAGGAATTGATGTCGTGGAACTCACTGCCATCTTCATCTTAGGGAGCTACCTCCTCTAGGGAACGTGATGTATATAAAAAATGCATGTGTCCTAAAAGACTCCTGGAGGATCCTTCTTCAGTGGGTGGGTGGGGACTTTAGCACACAAACAACAGCAGGGAAGATATTTTTGAGCAGGTAAGGCTTTTATTGTATGGATATCAGAAAGCAGATTCATTATGTTACCAAGTAAAATCTAGCTTAAAAGAGGGCCAAAGCCCCATCCTCTGGCCAGGTCTACTCCCCACAGAAGTCTAGGAAACCAACTCACAGTCAGAGGCTACAGGGCATCTTGGGACAAAGAGCCCAGAAGAGTTGACTGTGTGAAAGAGTCTTTGATGAAGGCACAGGAGGACCCTCTGATAATTCCTCACCCCTGGGGCTGGACAGGGAGCAGCACTCTCTGAGCAGGGCTTGGCTGGACCCTAGCCTCAGACTCTCCTTTGTCTTAGCTCCATCTGGAAGCCCTGAGGACTCCTGCTTCTTATCTCACACCATACACTCAGGGTCTCTTCTGCCAGAACAGCCTCTTTGCTGTCTTTGGTATTCATCCCCTTACTTCCCGATTCCCACTCTTTACCTCCAACGATGCAGTCTGAGGATGAAGCTATGGACCAGCCCAACCCCCACCCCATGTTCTCATTGCCCTATCAAACTAGCACTCCCTGTGGTGGTGGTGGTGGTGAGAGCAATCAGTTTCAATTTATAAAATGATTTGCACTAAGGTATAAGTGACCCACGACTTCACCCTCCCAGGGGCATTTGCTTTTTAAAAAAGAAGTCTGTTAACCTAAATTCTGCTCTATAATTAGTGAAAAGTGAAGTGTGGGAGTTTTGAGTCCAGGACAGGATGGCATCCAGGTCTCCTTACCCATCCTGGAGCACTGAGAGAAGAGAAGCAAATGAACAGGAGCCAAACACCCTCTCTTCTGCTAGGGCAACCCCCCAAAATTGTTCTAAGATAAAGGCAAGGCCTAAGAATAGGCAGCCAGCTGCCCTTGGGGATAGACCCCCAACTCCTCTCCTGGCCTGTCTGGGTTTCCCTGCCCATAGCTTTTCCCTCTACCAAGGGAAAGGCCTCCGGAGGGGAGGCACGCTGCCCAGTCTCGACTACCCTGGGGGAAGCCCAGCTCCAGGGAGGCTGTGCCGGGCTCCTAGGAGGAGAAGGGAAAGGATGTATGTGCCGGGCAGAGGTAAGGTAGGGCCTTCCCAAGGCTCCTGCTCTGCGCTATTCCTGTTACCCGCCCAGGCCTGGGTCTCAGGGGCTGGCGAGCTGGGAGCTCCCCGAGCGCCGCCTCAGTATCTTTCCCGCAGGTGCATCCTCCATGGTCAGCCAGCCGGCGGGCTCTACCTCCAGCCTGGGGAAGCCCTGCCGGCAGCCTGCGCGGGCGCTGTGCCGCCCCCGGACCGGACACGAGGCAAAGTCCGCGCCGGGCCCTCCCACGCGGACGCAGGCGGCCTCTGTCAACAGCCCCGGGCTTATCTGCTGCCGCCGTGGCTGTTTGCCTTCGGGGAGGCCCCAGCGGGCTGGGGGCTGAGAAGGCCTGAGAGACGCCGCCTTGGAGCAGGAGGGGCCCTCAGCGGCCATCTGCGCCAGCTCCTGGCCGCGCCAGCAGACGGCAAGGCCGAGGGTGGGCGAGGCCGGCCGAAGACGCTCAGGGCACAGCTGCCACTAGTCCCTGGAGTCGTGCCCCAGCCGGCTGCCTACGGTGCACGCAGGCCTGGGCCGCGGGACCTCCTCTGCCTGCTGGCGGCTGCCTCCGTGGCGCCCTTCCTCCTGCGCCCGCCTCTCAGCTGTCAGAGATTTGAGCGGGGGAGCGGGGACCCAGAGCTACTGCTCCGGATTTTCGGAGGAGGAGGGGAGGGAGGTGTCCTCTCATTGCCCCACATCCCACCTCCTTGGAAACCCCTCGGCGGCACCTGCCTCCCTACATGGGCCGGGGTTGCACGAGGAACAGTCACGGGTCAGGAGTACCCTTACCCCCCCGGGGAGGAGAGAGGGACTCCCTGCACCCTACACCTGGCGGCGGGGTGTGTTTCTGCTCTATGAGACTTTTTTTTTTCTCTTGTGTCACTTACAAACCATGCAGCCCTCTGAGTAGTGTAGGTCTCAGGGGGTAACTGAGTCACAGACCCACTGCAAGTGTTTACAGAGTCTCCCCCGCCTCACCCAATCCGAGCGTGCAGCGGGGCGCGGGTTCAGCAGGCCCAGGTCGAGCCCCAGAGCTCTCCCCCAACGCCGGCGCGCCACTGCGGCTCTCACCGCCCTTCTGGGCAGGCCAGGAGCCACCAGAGCCGGCGGGGCGCCCTTCGCCTCCCTCTCCGTTCCAGGGACACTTGCATAACGTGCATCTAAAGCAATTCCTTCGCGTTAACTACGGGTAGTTATTTAAAGTATTTGGCCTTGGTTAAAACAAGGGGGACGAGACGGCAGTCCTGGGCGCCCGCCGCACACCCCTAAGGGGCAGGCACTGGGAATGACTTCACCGCATTCTGGCGAGGGTTATCCGAGGGTCAAACCTGGACCCGGAACATCCATGCTACCAGAGGCGGAGACTAGGCTGATACCGACCTTTCAGCCTCAGTTTACCTTCTTCCAGGCCACAATTAGGAGCAGTAAACCGGGAAAGGCTGCGTTCCGCTCCCTGCCGGAGCTCCCAGCCCCGCGCCCCTCCCTTCCCCGCGTCCACGCCGCGTGCGGGCGCCGGGAGCAGACGGCGGCGGCTCCCGAGCAGAGCCTGGAGCGCCGCTCCACTCCCACTCAGGAGAGGGAACCGTGGCAACGGCGGGGGTGGGGCCGCGGCGCGGGAGAGGGGGCTGGGAGAGAGGGAGCTCGCGCGCCCCTCTCCCTGCGAGAGTTCGCGGGGCAAGGCCAAGCCCCTCCGATGCCTTCGGCCCCACCTCGCAGCCAGCAGGTCGCGCTCCCCCCTCCCCACCCGGTCCCCGTGGCCGGTCGCAGACTCCTCTTCACTCTCCTTCTTAGACGCCCCAGGACCCAGGCCGCGACCCGCCCGTGGAACCGGGGTGAAAATTGCCAAGGCGAGAGGTCGGCCTGGCGCCTCCCTCCGAGCCCCACGTTTCTCCTAAACAGTGAGAATCCGACCCTCCGCGGCGGGCGCTCGGGGAGGAGTCGGTCCTGGGAGAGCTCAGAGCTGGGTCCCCCGCGCGCGGCCTCCGCGCCCGGCGCCGGCCCCGCCCCCGCGGCCCGTACCTGCCCCAGCTCCTCGCCGGCTTCCAGCTGCACGTTGCCTCGGCTCCGGCTCTCGCTGTCGCTCAGCAGATCGTCCTCCGAGTCCTCGGGCAGCGACGAGGAGCCAGTGGAGGAGAGCGACGAGGTGGAGAGGCGGCGCGGCTGCTGCAGGTGCGACGAGCCCACGGCCGGGAGACAGCCGCCCTCCGGCTCGGGCGGCCCGGGGCTGGCCGGGGGGACGTCCGGCTCCTCGGCCGTCACAGTCAGCTGCGGGATCACCGGGGCAGGGGGAGCCCGCGGAAGCCCGTTGGGGACCCGTCCCCCACGCCGCTTGGCCCCGCGGGCCCGGGGATCCCCCGCGGCGGCGGCGGCAGCGACCGCGGCGCAGCGCGCCTCGAAGAGCAGGCGCAGCTCCCCGACGCTCCGGCGCGGGGCCCGCTCGAGCCCCGGGCTGCAGGGGCCCGCGCCTCCCGGCCGCGCCATGCCCGTCGGGCCCCCGGGCAGTGTCATTTCCCGGCACGAGAGCCGCCGCGGAGCCCACCAGCCCGCGGCGCGGCGGGGACTGGAGGCGCTCGGCGCCCCAGGCTCGAGACTGCCCCGAGGCGGAGCCTGCGCGGCCGCCCGCCCGGGCCCCGCCTCGGCCGCGCCCCCCGCCCACTCCTTTCGCTTTCAGAGAAAGCGCGGGCCTCCGCCGGCCCCGGCCCGGCGGGGAAGGCTCCCTGCTGCTCCTCGGGTGGCCGGGAAGCCCAGACCTCGTGCGCGCAGACCCAGGACCTGGCCTTCGCGGCCTCTCAGTGCCCGCCCTCTACGAGACGGGAGGGGCCGCTCCGCCCCCGGGCGCTACTGCCTCGCCTGGCTCTGGGGCTGGGAAGGATTTCTCCTGGCTGCTCAAGGGCCCTGACCTCGCAGGGGAGGAGCTGGTCCTGCTCTTGCCCTCCCACCCAGTCCTTTCCGCGTTCCGTTCATCCTGGGCCGAGGCTTCCAGGTCTCCGGGGCTTTCCTGCCCCCGGGGCTGCTTCAGTGTAGAGTTCAAGGCAATCGGCTTCCCAAGGAAGCCTCCCCACAGGGCTTGCGCCCAAGTGGGGACTCTGTCCCGGAAGGAGCTGAGGCTTCTCCCCTTCAGTTCCTCACTTCTCAGAGGGCAGAGATTAAGGTCGGGGAAGGGGCCTGGATCTCCCCCTTCATCCCTGCGGCAGCATCCCTGGCTACAGGCTGGGGGGGCGGGGAGAGGTGCTGAGCCTTTCTTCCTCCTGTCCTTATGGAGTTCTGGGCTTGGAGTCCGCTGTGGGGCTGTAAGCAAGTCATGTCACCTCCCTGGACTGCTGATTCTCCTCCGCAAGGTTGTGGTCCACCGCACGGGATTGCTGTGAGAATAAAATAAAATGAAAGATGAGCAATCTCTAAAACGTTAGCGTAGTTTTAGTGTGGGTGGTACAGCCGGTCTCAGCTCACTCTACCTGTGATTTTCGGCAGTCTCTTCACCCTTCTGAGTCCCATTTCCTCTCTTGTGAATTTAGGAAAACCTCATGTGACCCGCAGAGTTGTGGCTGTGGAACTGCAAGGAGAGCGCTGCTGGTGGTAAAGTGTTTCATACACAGCAACATGCTCATCGGTGGCATCGTTGTAGTGGGTCTTGGCCATTTGACACGTTCGTGGTCAGCTGAACTGCAAGGCTGCTTTGAGTAGAAGTCAGTATTTCACAGCATTTCCTGTCTTCCCCAAAATGCCAGGCATGAGGATCCTTCATCAGGGGCCTGGTGCCTGGGGGTCTTTCGGGATACCATGGTGAGAGCGCCCCCAGAAGGATTGCCTCTGATGCTGATGAAGGCCAAAGGGCGGAGCTTTCCTTCTCTTATCTCCCTTCAGCCAGGAGTCAAGGATGGGCCAGGAGGAGAGAGAAGGAGGGTTCCGACAGAGAATGGGAAACTTCAGCAAAGAAAGAAGGAGAAGATCCTGGGAGAACTGATGAAGAAAGTAGGAGTAGAAGAAACAGTGGGAGGAGGGAGAAGAAATGGAGGAAATGAAGGAATAGGAGAAAGAAGGAAATACAACAGCCTGAATACTTGAGTCCTCTGCGGAGAACCTGGAGAATCACAGGGCCACCTTCTCTGGTCGCAGAGATCTGGAGGAGCCTTTGTGGGAGGGGTGTGCTCTAGAGCCTGAGGGCCCAGAAATACCCGTGTCTCCTGCACTCACTTCTCTCCCTCCTTCCCAGCTACCCTGGTCCGTGGTGGGAGCTGGGAATGTACTGCCCTGGGTGGTAGGGGGGACGCTGGGGGCCAACTCAGGGTAGGGAGAGTGAGCAAGGACCTGTCAGAACTGGAAAGTGAGGAGGGAAGTGAGAGGAGGGAGTGTAAGCTGCCCACATGTGTGCCAGCCAATGCCTGGGCAACAGTGGTGGAGGCACCAGCAGGCTGGGAGCTGCTCTTTGTCCTGGCTGCCAAGGGAAAACTCAGGGGCAGTTCCTTTCCTTTGAGTGCCAGGCTCTAGCCCAAGGGCCGGCAACTGAAGAAGAGCTCTTTGCAATCCCAGCCCAGGTGTCCCAGGTAAGGGCAGACCTGGGAAAGGGTGCTGAACTGAGAGCTACTTTCACAGCCTTTTAGAGTGGGAAGGGTGTTTAGATGCTTCCTGTCCTCCTCATTCACCATAGAGAAGTAACAAAGGGGTTAAGTGACTCAGCCAGGGAGGTTAAGGCACTTGTATAAGGCCACACAGCTAGTTGGTGGAAAAGCCAGAGTGTGCCCTGGCTAGGTCCCCTGACTCCTATTCCTGTACTGTGCTCAGTTTCTTTCATCAGCATCTTGTAGCTCAGTCCCTAATTCCTTATCCAATGAGGGCAGAGTTGTCCTCCACCTAACACAGGCAGAAAGCATAAGGGCACATACTGGGGCAGGGCCTGGGGGTCCCAATAGAGCTATGGGACAAGGTCAAGGGGCTCTCCTCTCCTCTTAGTCAAGCCAAGAATGACACTTCAAATCCTGGAATCTTGTTCTTTGTGCCTCAGTTTCCCCAGTCTTCGAGGCTGTGAGTAGAGGGATGGGGTGAAAATCAGACCGAGAGCTGTGTAGCTGTGGAAGCAGCCTCTGGTGTGCTGCACAACATGGTGAAACGGGAGCCTAGAAGAGTGTTTCAAGGTTTCGATGGTCATTGGATGGCTGATCTGAGACAGGACGTGGGAGTCCCTCTGCCTCATCCACAAGGCCAACTGCATGTCTGAAGAGAGAACTGAGCTTTCTTTTTCTCAGCATCTCAGTTCAGGGGTCCTCCTCCTGTACCCTAGGGGCCTGCATCCTGGGGTGTCTGAGTCTTCACCCCTCTCTATGGCCTTCAGGATTTATCAAGCCTGAGAGCGACATCCCTCCTGTGAGGTAACAACCCTGGGGCACCAAACGTGGGAAGGGGGAGCCTGGAAAATGGGATGTGTGAGGTGAGGGGTTTCTGCGGGCCTGATCTTATTCCCTAGCCTGCCTCATTGAGCTCTGCCCCTCCTCTACCCCACCCCCAGGGCAGCACCAACGGCCCCAGGGGCAGGAGCAAGGTGACTGCTCCCCATCCCCTGCCAGGCCCAGTGCCAGTTTCTGCTTCCCAAGGCTGCAGGCAGGGCCTCTTACCTGGGGCAGAGAGGATGGAGCGTAGCCTTTGACCTGTACTCCTGAATGGGCCGCCTGTAGCTTTGAGAGGACTTGAAGGCCTCTCCAGAGAGGGCAGAGTCTCTATGGGGGGTGTGTGTGTGTGTGGGTGTGCGCGTGCGTGTGTGTTTGGGGGACAAATGTTCCTCTAGACCAGGTCGTGCAGGGTCTCATTCTAGTCCACCACTCCCAGACATGCTCTGTGGGGCTTGGCGTCCTCCAAGGACTTTCTGACCTCAGGATTCCAATATTCTGTGACAATACCTGTGATTCATTCATTCATTCACAGAGCAAACAGAAACTTCCATTGAGAAGCTGCTATGAACCAGGCATTGTGCTGAGTGAAAGGGACATAGGAATGAGGAGCTCCTTTGATGACCCCTCCTTACTGGGAGCGGTGGTGTATCATTTTACATGGTCTTCTGGAGGAAGGAAACCAGAAAGGATCCAACCAGAAAACAGGCCCCAGGATGCTAAATGGCTGCAGTTACTCTCGTTTCCAAGGAGCTGTCAGCGAGACCTTGGTCTGTCAGCTGCTTCACACAAACCACTCCGCAACCCTGGTCAGTCTGATGCCCTTCTCTGCCCAGAGCATAGCAGAGAGGGTGCTGGGGGGCTGGCCAGAGCCAGGGCCAACGGACACGTGAGTCTGGGGAAGAATGGGAGGTCTCCTTCCTCCTGGGGAGAGGAGCGAGTGGCTGTCTTCACCTGACAGCCCCAGACCCCTTGCCCTGCCTTTGGGTTTCTCCTCCCCACAATCACCGGCCCCATAATAGATAGACTTCGTGGGAATATTCTGGGATTGGGTGTTAGGATAGTTTAACAGGACTAGCGATCTAGCAGCATTCGATGACCCTCCATCCTCTGAGTCACTCTAATCAAAAACGAACAAAATGTGTCACCACACCTGTGTATGCGCAAGAAGAACATTTTCTCTCCTGACACACTTCAGAAACAAGGTTCCCCATTCCTCCCAGGAGCCTGTGTTCCTGTGGTTCTCCCTGCTCCCTCTCTCCAGAACTCAGAACCCGCAAAGTCTCTCCCAGTGGCCAAGCGGAGGCAGAAGGGACTGGGAGCATCTGAGGTCAGGGACGGTGTCGAGGCGACTGCTCTAAGAACGCGGCTCAGACTGCACCGACGGCTCGGCCCCCCATGTCCCCACCAGGGCACCTCCCCAATTTTGTGACCGCAGCGGGTGGGCGCAGCCCGATTCCATGTGTGATCTCTCTGCCTGCCCTCGTGACCTCCCCCCCAGTGCTCCGCGACCAAGTCCACAGAGCATCCAGCGGAGGAAGAACCGGGAGCCGCCGGGAAGCGGCGCGCAGACTCCGGGTCCGGGGAGGGAGTGCCCGGTCCGCGGCGCACACGCTTCCACCTGACGCCGCGGTTTCTCGCGGCCTCGGGTGGAACCCACAGGACTGGCGTCCGGGGCTGCTCCTGCGGGCGGCGTCCGCGCCCCGGGGTTTCATTCCCGCATGCGCTGCGGTCCGGGAACAGGATGGGAGCGGCGCGGTGGGGTTGAACGCCCCAGAACGTTGCCGCTCCCGCTTTCCCCCCGCCCCTCTTCCCTCCACCACGTTTATTGGGCATTAACTAAGTGCCAGGCGGCGCTGGGTGCTGGGGCTATGGAGAAAAATGCGGCAGACACAAGCAGCTTCCAGACTAGGGGTGCAGACTCACAAATAACAGTACAGCGTGGTGAGTGAGCCGCCTGGAGGTGCTCCCAAACCCGAGCGGGAGAAGGAGATCCGGGAAGGCTTCCCGGAAGAGGTGACTTTTCAGCTGAGCGCTGAAAGACGAGGAGGCGTTCTCCAGGAAAATGGATGGAGATACATAGCCAGTGCGTTCCAGGCAAGGTGAATGTGTGTGTGGCCTAGCAAGATGTGTGTGCTGAGCAAAGCAGGGTCATCAACAGCTAAAAGAGTGGAGGAAAAAAACCCCTGATGTTTTGAAGAAGGCACAGAGATAGTTAGCCACCACGAGAAGGATCAGAATTTTGTTAGACTTCTTTACAGTTATTTTCCGGTAGGGTATTGTTTTTATGTTTTAAACACTCTTGGTGGTTGCCAGGTGGCGGTGGTGACCTTCGGAGTCAATGATGGCTGGGAGCAGGATGACGTTTTCAGCCTGGCCATCTGCAAAGAAGGGGTGTTTTTCGGGGCTGGAGAGAATAGCAGCAACAAGAGGCAGGCCAGGAAGATGGCGCCGAAAGCGAAGAAGGAAGCCCCTGCCCCTCCCAAAGCCGAAGCCAAAGCAAAGGCTTTGAAGGCCAAGAAAGCTGTGCTAAAAGGTGTCCAGAGCCACAAAAAAAAGAAGATCCGTACCTCACCCACCTTCCGACGGCCCAAGACACTGCGGCTCCGAAGGCAACCCAAGTATCCTCGGAAGAGCGCCCGCGAAGAAACAAGCGTGACCGCTATGCCATCATCAAGTTCCCCTTGACCACTGAATCAGCCATGCAGAAGAGAGAAGACAACAACACACTTGTGTTCATCGTGGATGTCAAGGCCAACAAGCATCAGATCAAACAGGCTGTAAAGAAGCTCTGTGACATTGATGTGGCCAAGGTCAACACCCTGATCAGGCCTGATGGAGAGAAGAAGGCATATGTTCGACTGGCTCCTGACTAAGATGCTTCGGATGTTGCCAACAAAATTGGGATCATCTAAACTGAGTCCAGCTGGCTAATTCTAAATACAAGTTTTTTTTCACTATAAAAAAAAAAAAGAGGCAGGCCAATGGCAGGTCTGCTTCTCTGGGTGGTTCCCCAGGGCGGCCCGCCCCAGTGCCCACCTGTGGGAACCTCAACCTGGAGGAGGGTTTCTTGGCCCCGAGGTAGGGGCTGCCAGGAGTCTCTGGGCTGAGCACTCCAGCTTCTGGTCGTGCCTCTGCCCCACGCCCAGGCTGGGGCTGTTCTCTTGCAGCTGCCGCCCCCTGCCTCTCCTGGCTGCCCCCTCTATCCCCACCCCTGCCACTCTGCCCCACAGTCTCTCCTCTGAGGCCCAGTGGCTTCCACTCTCACTAACAACAGCATTTACCAGACCCCCACTGGGGAAAGGAAGACTTAATCTTTAACACAATCCTGACAGATCTTCTATTAAAGATGGGGAACTGCAGCTCAGAGGAGTTAACTAGCTCAGCCCCAGGTCATGTGTGGCAGAGCTGGGATATGAACCCTGCACTGAGCCTGTGTCTTGTGGCTCACCCTCGGGTCCAGAGCACCATCTGTAAGCCCTAAATGAGCCTATGCTACAGAGGCTAAGCCCCTTCGCTGGGCCAAGAAACCCCACCTCCAGGGTCCACTCAGCGGCACAGGGGCTGGCCTGGGGAACCTTACAGAGAAGGCAGGCTGCCGCTGTTCCCTCCAGCCCCCCAAAACTCTCCTCCCCAAGGGAGCTCAGTGGCCCACTTTGGTCGGGGAAGTCACACACAAAAAACTCTGAGCTGGGGGTTGCTGGCTTCCCTGCTCTGCTCCAGAAAGCTGCTGGACACCACCACTCAGGATTCCCTGAGGACAGCCACCCCTCCCCTCAACTCCGGAAGACGAAGTTGACTGACCCTGTACCCCTCTTCCCTCTGCATCCCTCTCTCCCAGGCAGTCAGCTCCCTTGCTCCCCAAGCTAGGCAGCTATGGCTGCCCCATAGCACCAGATTCTGGGAGATAAGTGGACTAGGCTGTCCTCTGCTCAGAATCCCTGCTCTCTAGAACCCAAGGGAGCCCACTGCTCCCAACAGGCGGGTAGCGGGAGCAGCAGGGAGTTGGAGAAAACCTCATGGGATGCAGCAGCTGAGTGAGCCCCAGGGACCCACCTCTCTCAACACCAGAGGCAGGCTTGGACTGGGCTCCTTCTATCGTGACTGTCACCTCCCACCTTCCCAGCTCTAAAGGGGAGTAGATGATACAGAATCTTGCTTCCTAGCTAAAACATGGTCAGAGAGGTCTGAGACGCAGCTTCAGGCACTGGGGGTGTGGCGTCCTTACAGATCTCCCCAGCTTGAAGGCTGTGGGAAGGATATCAATATTTCCTCCGTAGCCACACTCACAGCCCCTGGGTTCCCCCTTTGCACTCACAATAGGCAGAAAACAGGATAGCAGAGGAACTGCGCTTAGGCCAAATGAAAGCTGGAAGGACCAGACTCTCACCAGAGTGAGGCAGGGTTCCAGGGCCGACCTCGTTCCATTAAAGCTTGTCGGTATCTTCCAAAGCAGGAAGTCAATCAGGCCAATTGGAGGGTGCCCTGGGTCTAGACAACTACGACATACCAGAGAGGCTTCTGGGGAACCAGGCTGCTGGAGGGTTGAAACAGCCACTTTCACTTTGGGGGCGGACAGCTAAGAGAAGGGGACGGAGAGAAAGGAAGCAAAAGAGAGGCTTGCTTGGACTTTCAAAACATGACTTTGAGAGTTGCCACTCGGGATGCAATCTTTGGACTCAATGTGATCCCCTTGTTAAAACAGGGCATAAAGTTTATTTACAAATATCTGTACAGTTTTGAGTGACAGCTCAGGACTTCACAGAAACAAGAAAACAAAACCATTCTTTGAAGGGAAATTGCAGGCAGCAGACTTTCCCTGCACCTGTCAGAAGCAAGACAGACAAACAGACCTGTAGATGGTGAACTAGGCATATGGACGTTGGCCTTCTTGCTTTTTGGAAGGAAGTGAAAAAACAGCATTAGGTGCCACACCCTTCAACACTGAAACTACGTGGGGTGGGGGGTGGAGTAGGGGGCAGCCGCAGCAGCTCCCCAGCACAAGAGACTGTGAAGCACTAAGCAGCCCAGCTGGTGGGACAGAGCCAGTGTCTTGAGCCCGGTCAAGATCTCAGCTCCGAGGCCCTGCCTCCGCTGAGACTGGAGACAAGTCCCCAGTCTCGATTCCATCACCAAGCAGGCCACCCAGGTGGGAAGGTGACTTTCAGTCTTCTTTGGTTGGCTTTTCTCCCTGCTGTTTTGGCGTCTCCAAGTTTCAGCAGCTGCACGTGGGGAGGCAGTGGCAAAGGGGCTACAGTGTGATGCAGTTTTAATAAAAATTTTATTACACAGCCATAATGTAATCGACACTTCTCCAAATCCAAATGATACTAAATACAGATCTACATGGTGGATCAGAATGACTCCAGCAAATTATATGGATTCTATAATTTCATGTCTTTTAAAACCAGAAAGAAAAAGAAGTCCAAGTTTGTCATGATAGGAGAGGTCCCAGCAGCCTCTGAGACTCCGCCGGAGTCCAGGCAATGTTTAACAGTCTGTGATTCCACATTTACACAATAGTCTGTAAAGGGTTTCGGTCAATGGACTATTCAAGTATATATGATTTTAATGAGTCCATCACCACTCCTTTGCCCAAACAAACTGTGTCACAGCTACCACATAGCTGTGTTAGTCATATTTATCAATTTTACAGTCACAATACTTTTTAAAAACCATCCATTGCTGCTTTTTTTAAAATAAAAAAGTGTAAACTAAGTTAAAGCAACACTGAGGCTCTAGTGAACCCAGAAGAGTTACCAATTTCATTTTTATGATTAAATACAAATTGACTCCATGATTTCCCGTCATCCCACCTCCTTACAGGAGAGCAGGATGGAGCACACTGCAGGGCTTCTGGATTCCTCTCCCTCCGTGGGAGTCGGCAGCTCTCAGCTGTTCCTTTAGCTTAGTTCTTGGTATATATAGTCAGCTGTACTTTGTTCTGAAAAGATTTGTTAAATGCCACTTTTATTTACACTTGGAGCTTTACACCTGAGAATGATTATCAAGCAGTCAGCTTATCTCTTTTCAAACATTTCATAAAGACATACACACGTTGCTGGCCTCACCCTAGCTGCACAACAATATATATGCTCACCATATATATATATGGATACACACACACAGAACTGCACATGCTTGTAACATCTGCAACCTAGATCTTTTTGTGTTCGTTCTCTCCACATTCACGTTGAATACTTTCTCTTAAAAACAAAACAAAATGTTATTCTTGCTGAAACAGCAAAACAGAATCACTAGGAAGAGACAAGTACATGGAGTGGGAAAGAGACGTACTCCAGGTTCAGCTAAGAAGCTGTGGGCTGTACCCAGGGGATGAGCAGGACGCGTGCACTGCCCTCCCCAGCACCTGGCGTGGGCTGCCCTCCCACCTGCCAGGACACAGCGTACAGGGCATGGGCCACACTGGGGAGTTTCCTCGAGGTGGGGAGGTGCTGGGAGGAGGAGGGGGAGGGAGGTTACACAGCTACAGCAGTCAGGCCTGTTTAGTAAGAAGAATCACATTTAATGAGTTTCTTTCTTTGCAGTTTCAGATGCTCAAGTACAGCTGAAAAAAATCTGAAACAGCTATAGACCCATGACGGACTGATACAAAGAGTACTGCATTTTAAAAAAATGATAAAAAAATCCACACACTTACAGACACATACACACACACACACTCTCTCTCTCTCAAACAGACCCCCCCCGCCCCGACAAATGTACACTTTTTGGAAACTAAATTGGTTTTGAAAACCTCTCTTCCGCAGAGATGGGAAGCAGAGACAGAGGAGGAGAGAGGAAGCAGGACTGCAGGTGCCCAGTCCCCTCTCCCTCCACAAGGGTCGGTGCCAAACGTTCAAAGGTTGGGTCCACGGCAGCCGGCAGAGGAGACTGCCCAGTGTTGCTGCTGTCGCCACCAGGGGCTCAGCAAGAATCCCAGCTCCACGGTAATACTGAATGCGTGCAGAGTGGCCAATGAACGGTGCTGGTTTAAAAGAAAAAAAAAAAGCCAAACACAAATCTAAAGACATGGATAAAGCCCAAGAGAGCCCAGGTCCACACTGGGTGGGGCCTGGGAGTTGGTGGGAGATGGTACAGACAAGGGAGGTCTATACAGCAAATGGTTTATATTACAGATGACTGGCAGTTCAGAGTCTCTTCCCAGTTCTACTGCTGCTCCAGCCCAAAGAGGGCAAATGAAAGGAAAAGAGGCAAGGTGGGACACTGTGATGGGGCATGCAGGGTCAGGAGCAGCAGGCTGGGTGTGCTCAAATAAGCCCCCGTCGCTTTTTGTAGTCTTCCAAGTTCAGAGATCTCCTGGGAGCCCCGTCCTTGGCTGGCGGAGCCTTGGAGGTGATGGCCAAAGCCTTTGACTCTATGAGAAAGAAGAGAAAATTGGCATCTAAAGTACCTACAGAGTCCTTTATTTATTTTGGTGACGAAGATCAGCTCTGAGCTGACATCTCTTGCCAATCTTCCTCTTTTTGCTGAGGAAGACTGTCCCTGAGCTAACATCTGTGCCCATCTTCCTCTATTTTGTATGTGGGACACCTCCACAGCATGGCTTGATGAGCAGTGTGTAGGTCTGTGTCTGGGATCCGAACCCACAAACGCTGGGCTGCCAAAGCAGAGTGCCCGAACTTAACCACTACACCACTAGGCCAGCCCCCAAAGTCCTTTTAGTCTTGCACTTCACTCCTTCAGGTGGCCTTCCTGACTGTCTCTGTTCCCTCTCAGAACATAGCTGCGGCCTGTCGTATTCTGGCCTCTATAAACACTGATGAGCAGACACTCTCATGGCTTCCTAATCTGGCCTCCACGCTGAGAGCCATGGAGCCAGCTGGTCCTCGGCCATCGCCACTCCCCACGTTTACCTACCTGAGCTGGGAACTTGTAAATCAATCTTCACATCGAAATCATGTACTTTGAACAAGTCTTCTGAGAGGTCACTGGCTGACTTAGAATTCAAATCTTTATCCTTTCCCTGACCCTGCAATGTGAAGAGAAAAACTAAGCATGAAAACATACCCCTAAGTGGACTTCAAGAAGCAGCAGCTACTAATGGCAAAAGCTTTTGCTCAAGTTCATTAGCTCTTCCTACTAAGGCCCTTTTCGGATTCCTTCTCTCAGAGGGAGGACAGGAGAGGCTGCAGAGAAAGAGGTTTCTTCTCTGAAGCCTAAACGCAAAGAGGAGAGGGAAGGCCCACGTCTGTGGGGTGAGGGTTGAAAGACTGGGCTTAAGACAACAAGCCACATTCTGATTCAAGATTTCAGGAACTCCTGGGACAGTCCGGGCTCCCCCGGGAAAGACCTCACTTAGGCAGAAAACTGCTTCTAAATGGGCAGTTTCTCGGGGTTTAACATTTTAGTTTTCAAAGAGCTTTTACTTTCACAAGCGTCTGATCCTTACACGTCCTCTGCCCCCCTAATCATCCTGTGAGGGAGGCAGGGAATAGAGTATCATCCCCATTTTACGTATGAGAAACGTGGATCAGAGGGCTGGACGTCAGCTGCCTACAGCCGCAGTCAAGGCTTCAGTGAAGTGGTAGTGCTGGGTTTAGAATTTAGGTCGCCTGACCAAAATTCAACAGCTGTTTATTACATTTGTGAATAATTGGGATGGAGGAAGGATGGCAAGTGGGACCCCATGTTCTTCCAGCTGGGAAAACCAAGCCCAAACTAGGCGAGGTGCTCATTCTGGTGTCGGGCCAGGAGCCAAGCTCTGCAGGCCACGGGGCAGGCGGTACTGCACTTGCCTTGCTCATTTCCTTTGGAGCATCTGGTAACACTCCAGAACCGTACTTTGCATTCAGCTGGGCCAAGATGGCAGCTTGAACAGCTGGGTCTCTGGACTGAGAGAGAAAATAAGTTACTTTAGAGATTGTTCAACACTCACACAGTCCTACTGCCAGATTTTTTCCCACCTACCACTACTAACATCACAAGCACCGCAGTGGACCCATCAGCAGCTTAGCAGGGTTCTCAAAGCGGCGGAAAAGAGGCAATTAAAAGCTTTGAAGCCAAGCCCAGCCCAGCCTGGTCCTAACTGTGTGACCCAGCCCACACAGTCCTAACAGCTGCTGCACTGGTAAACCCACTGGCTCAGGGGGTGTAGTCCACAGGTTTCTATAAATCCATGCCAGGTTTTCACCACCTATACGTCCTATAGCAAGATAAAAAAGGACGTATCCAGACCCAAGAGTTTGAAGCAAGCAAATCCCACTAAGACAACATTATTTTTAACTTCCTTATTAATCTCCTAGTGGAATTTATTTTATGTCCCAGAATCTAGGTCCCGACTAGAAACGTCCTCTTTAGGCACTCACGTTAGAAACGATGGTAGGTTTGCACTGCCGCCTGGTAAAGGGATCCATCTGTTGGTTTTTCATGTTGTGACTTTCAGCCTGAAATAGACAGCATGCACTACAGAACACTATCTCCTTCCCCGCTCCTCTCATTCAACATAAGCTTACATATAAATAACAGTCTTTGCAAGGGCTTGAAAAAAGTCAAAAGCTGTCTATCACCCTTTTCCCTTCAAGAACACCAGAGAACATACAGGAACAACCACCAAAAGAACAAAACTAGAAATCTATCAAAATGAATACCTATGGAGTAGAATCTAAGGATGGGAGGGGTAAGACCGCGCAGAAGACTACTGCTTTGCATTACAAATTAATAAAATTATATAGGTGTAGGTGCACATAGAGATCACAGGTATGTTTAGTGTACAAATTACTTCAATAATGTAAAAATAAACTCAAGAAAGATGTAGACAAGATCTCATCATTTTATTAACTAAAATTGTTTTCAGTGATCCAGATAAAGTTGTGTAACTCACCACAAGGGCCTTCTCAGACTCCACAATGTTCCACTCCCGGTTCCGCTGGTTGATATAACTGTGGAGTGAGTAAGAGGGATGAGTCAGTGGTCTGTGAGAGCAGGGAGGGAACCACTGAGCCTGACCCAGAGATATGCGGAGCCAGTGCAGCACAGCATGTACAAGGCCACAGGCTGGCCGGATAACTGTGGCAAGGTCTGTGGGCCAAGGATGCAGCCCAATCAAAACAGGCTCCATGACACACCTGATAGCAGATATGTTCTTGGTCCGCTGGCGGTCCAGGGCCTCTGCCCGCTCCTCCAGCTCGTTCAGCTGGTCTTGGATTTGTTTGGCCTTGTCCTGATCCCCGAGGTCCTCAGCCATGGCCTGCACACAGAGAAAAGTATGAGATTTTGGCTATGACTGGCCCTATATCAAGTGTCCCCTTACTTCCAGCACAGGAAAGATATTTCATGTGATGAACAAATGACAGGAAACGTGAAAGAATGTTGAAAACAAACTTTTCAAACGCAAGGTATATCTTTTATTGTAGTGGTAACATCTTCCCATATAGCCATCTGGCTCTGGGACCACCGGTTCTGGGACCACCGGTTAGCAGTGATGTGTACCATTAATCTCAGAACCCAGGCCCCATATGGCTAGCTCACCCTCACAAGGCTCATCCCATCCTGATGTGAAGAATGGAAAACTACCCACCGCAGCTGGGCCTGGCCGTATCATTTGTCTGGTCAGACTCAGTGCTGACACACCCTGGGGTCTACCTTATTACACATGAAACTACAGAGACTAGAAAGTAGGGAGCCTGGAACGAGCAAGATCAGTTTTAACTTACAGAAAGGAAACTGGCCACGGAATGCTGCCCAGGTGCCAGGAAAACACTGTGCTGCTTGCGTTCAAGTCCAGCGTTATCTCCCAATCCTGCCACCAGTAACTGGGGCAAGAGGGTGAATGCGTTTGATTTCCACATCTCCTTACAGGACGGGGAGAAACATGTGTCTGTCAGTACATCCTTACCTTTTCCTTTAGCAGCTGAGTCTTCTTCATAGCGTAGTTGGGTGGGGCTTTCCTGAACCTCTCTTTCTCTTTTACAATCTGTACCAGAGAGGAGATACCAGCAGTGAGGTATTCCTACACTATTTTTGTAGACAGGCTAAGTGAGCTCATTTTGGAGGCAAACAGCAAGTTAAGAGGACTGCTCTTCCTATAGCAGTGTCACGCCCCAGAGAGAGAGAGGGAGTTCATTCCAAGGGATACTATGCTGCTTCCCGGGTCACGGAGATTTTTCTGGGACAGTCTGAAGGAACATGCACCAATAAACAGCAGCAGCCCAGGGGCCTGGCCACTGTAAGGCCAGCCACTGTCCAAGAGAACAGAGATCAAAGAATTTTACCAAAATGTTTGAAGAAAGAAAACTCTTAAGGACCAAGCCTGGCAGAGCCTGAATCCAGAATACACTTCTTTAGTCTATGACTTCAAATGAGAATGTACAGAAAAAATCTTGATGAACTACAAATAATAAGATAACAGTATCAGTTTAATTCCCTCAGCCTCATGCGATATTAGCAGGGCTAAAAATGTCAAGATATCCGGAAAGAAAAGAAAGTCATGATCTGCTCTAACACTGGTTCTTGATGAACCTCCAGGCTCTAGGGTACCAGGTTTCTTACCTCTTCAATGTCCTGATCGTTGAATTTATAATTAAGAGCTTCTTTAATAGATAATTCCTTCTTATTGATTTCATCTAGAGTGGGCAACTGCATGCCAGCAGAGAACATCTGCACCAAAACATGATAAAAGGTTATTAATAAGGGATTTTGGAAAGAGACACTCTCAGTGTTTTCATGAACAACTGCCAGGTGCTGTCTATCCACTTACCGCTTCTTTCCACTTCATAAATTCGCTTTCAGTGAATTCCTGGTTTGAGACGAACTCTAGGCGGAACACGCGTTGGTCATTGCCATGCCTACATAAAAAAGACAGCATCTCCAAAAATAGATATGTTGACTGTAGCACCAGCAAAGCAGCCCTACCAGACTGTACTACCTTCTCTGTGAGTCTCAATCCTGGCTACCCTTTAGAATCATCTAGGAAGACTTATAAAAATTCCAAAGCACCACTCTAGATCAACGGAATCAGAGTCTCTGGGAGTAGGAACGAGGCACCAAAATGAAACAAATGAAACCCCCCACGTTGTTCCAATGGGCAGCCAGGGTTAAGAATCAAAGCCTGCGCTGGAAACAGACTCGGCCGGCGCTGCAGAAGCCCATTCACAGGAAAATCCCTCACAGTCAACTGGCATCAAGAATATGAAACATCATGTATATACCTGAATGGCAAAGACACCCTATTCCCTACAGACGAAGAACACTGCCTTTCTGGTTTTCTTCTTCTTCTCCTCCTCCCCAAAGCCCCCCAGCACATAGTTGTATACCCTACTTGTAGGTCCTTCTAGTTCTGCTCTGTGGGACGCTGCCTCAGCATGGCCTGATGAGCAGTGCTAGGTCTGCTCTCAGGATCTGAATCGGGGAAACCCTGACCTGTCAAAATAGACCAGGCGAACCTAACCACTCGGCCACGGGGCTGGCCGGAACACTGCCTTTCTACTAAGCCCTGTGCCGGCAAAGTTAAGTGACTCAGTGCCATTCTCCTAGGGACGGTCACTCTCTGCATGTCGTGGCCACTGCCTACAAACTGGTTCTTTTTAAACAGACCAGGAGAGAAGATGGGGATGGGAAAAAGGAATGGAGCTTCCATAGAGACCAAATTAGGCCTTGGTAGAGCCATGCCCATCACCTGCTATTTGCAGTGATCCTGGCAAACTACCTCTATTCCTTCCTATACGGGATCTTTAGAATTTTCAGGCTCCAAGAGGGCAAGGATTGTGTGTGTTTATTTTGTTCTCGCCTCTATCCTGATGCCTAGAACAGTGGCCCATAGCAGGCATTCAGTACACATCCTATTACTGAAGAGGAAACTAAGTCTGGAAGGGTGATCTGACTAGTCAAAGATGGGTGAGTTAGTGACAGAGGCAGGACCAGAAGCCAGCCTCCTGACCAGGCTCACTGAGGCAATGCCTGCAGGGCTCTGGGAGGAGGAGCTCTCACAACCTGACCTTTTCCTTCTATCTCCTGTTTCACATCCCGACTTCCCCCAGAGAGAGAGATATCCTACTTTCCCTATAGGCAAAGACAGAATACAAGTTTCCCTCTGAGTCCCCTGTGGGGACAACAGTGTTCGCTGTAACAAGAAAGATCACATTGGGAGAGAGTCACAGCCCAACAGGCAGTGCCTGTTTGCAGTGGGAGCAGAAGCTGCCACGGAAGCACCTCTCCTACCGTAGTTGTAGCCCTTTGTTTGTTCTGGTGCCACCAAGCTGGTAAACTTTGGCAGTTTCCACAACACCAGTGATCTCAGCAACCTGTGAAGGACAGAGATGCCGGTCAAGAACAGACTCTTTCAGAGCTCTCCATGCCACTCTCTTTGGCTCTGTCTTCCTGAACGAGGATAAGAAACCCTGCACTGAGGGGAGGCCACAGCTGCCAGGTGTTCAGGCATCTTTCTCAAGTTTAGAACTCAGACTGCCAACCAGCAGGAGCCCATGCCCAGAGTAAGGAAGTGCCAGGAGAGGAGGCAGTTAGCCCAGCGGAAGTCATTAGAAGCTTCCCCTCCAACTTAATTCTACCTTCCTAGGGGATGTACTTGGGATTTCAGAGGTCAGTTTTATGTTCCTGTGAGGAACGAAGCACACTGGGAAACCAAATGTGAAGACTACGGAGGTCAGTTTCTGTTGCCAAGCTTTACGGGACATGGTATAGCTGGTCTTCACAGAAGGAGGTAAACATGTGTTAAAACCATACAACCCAGAATAAAAACAAATGCAAAAAGAAAAATATCAAACAGCTATGTTCCAGCCATCCAGACTACAGAAGCAATGCTGGGACCTACAAAATAACCTCTACTAGGTTGGAGGGATTTTTTTTTAAACCTCAATATAATTACCTGTTCCAGAAGTTACTTACTTTGTAACATGGAAAATTTTGACTTATCTATTTTTCAAATGCACAAAGCTTCTCCAGATTACATAACTCCCAACAAATACTTCATAAATGTCTCCCTTCTTGCTTTTATATGGAAGGAGGATAGAGAAAATTATTCTAAATCCAAACCCACCAGTCCCTTTAGCTCCAAGCACTCCTCCTGGCAACAGGTCATGCATGATCCCTGGTTACCTCAGATTGTCACTCTTCTACAGGTACCTCGACTGGAGTCTATTTTCCCATAAAATGGTGGCAGAAGAGTGACAGATTTGTTCAGTAGCTCCTACTCCCCGTCAAGAATCATTATATTTAAAACATGGACAACTGTCCAAGGAAAGAAACACCGACCCGGTAAACTGGTTTGCTGTTGTGGTTTCCAATGCCAATCCGTACAAAACATCCTGTGACAGTTTTAGCAAAGAAGGGCATGTGACACCAGCGTTCTAGCTTATGCCGTGATAATCGAACTCGATTCAATTCCTCAGGTAAGGAGACTGGTTGTGATTTTGGTGGGATCTCTTCTTTCCTGTGAGGAACAAAGGGCACTGGGGAAAATGTTCATAATAGAAACAGATCAAGATAAATAAATAATATTATCTTCTTAAAACTTAACTCAACCAAAGTACATGTGATTAACGCAGTAGGAGAAATAAATGGAGCAAGAGGAAAGAGTGGTAATAGAGTCTTGTTCCTAATCAGTAGTGTGAACTGTCTTGAATAAGGCTGCCATCTCAGAGAACCTATCAGAGTAAGAAAACTAATGGAAGCTCCTGGCCAAGATGAAGGTGACATGAAGTCAGTTCCTACCTGCCAGGTCCAGATGAAGTGTCCAGGGGTGCAGGCTAAGAGCTAAAGGCAGGAGCATATGTTTGGGCTGAGGTACTGGGGAACTCAGTTAGAAATTCAGGGTATGAATCAAACAAAGTTCACAGCCCAAACTGGGAGATTCTGGAAACTACACTCAACTTCTCCTCAAAAACCCCACCCATCCTGACTACTAGACCAAAATGCACACAGCTTACTCCTCCTCTTCATCAGACGACGATGTTCGAGACGAACGGTCTGACTTTTCACTGGACTTGTCGTCCTCTTCCTCCTCCTCATCGTCAGAGTACACCTCACTGGTTTTTAATGGCTGTTTTTTGGCAAGGAGCTCAGCTAAAAAGAAAAGGAAATGTTTATTTAGGTTCTCTTCATAAGAAGCTGAAACATCTTTCATCCTTGAAAAAGAACTGGCACATGGAAAAGGACTCAATATATAACTCTATCCTCTCCGGACTGGACTATGATTACTTGGGCTACATGCAGAACTGAGTTAAACCAGAGTTCAAATCATTCAGGCACCAAATGTCAATCCCCAACACACAAAAAAAGGGCTGAAAGACTGTCACTAAGTGGGCAGAAAGGGTCACCAAGTCTACTCACAGTTGTCTTTTATCGCACTCAAGACACCCAAAGATGGGCAGGAAATATGGGGGAAAAATTTATGATGTCTTCCGAGAATCTTTGAGGAAACTTTATTTTGAATTTACAAAATTCAAAATAATATTTATAATAGCAGAAGACTGAAAACAACCCAAATATCCACATAGAGGAGTGCCTGAATCACTGCTGGTACATCCACCCAATGGACTACTATGCAGATATGAAAAAAGGAGTGAGCCATTATACTACATTTTGAGACAGAAAAGGTTTTTTTTTATTTTTTATTTATTTTTTTAATTGTTCTCCTTTTTCTCCCCAAAGCCCCCCAGTACATAGTTGTATATTTTGTTGTGGGTCCTTCTAGTTGTGGTATGTGGGACGCTGCCTCAGCGTGGTCTGATGAGCAGTGCCATGTCCACGCCCAGGATTCGAACCAACGAAACACTGGGCCGCCTGCAGCGGAGTGCGCGAACTTAACCACTCGGCCACGGGGCCAGCCCCCAGAAAAGGTTTTTTAAAGGGACAGATAGTAAATATTTTAGGTTTGTGCTTTATATGGTCACTGTCTCAACAACTCAAGTTTGCTGTTATAGACAGAAAGCAGCCATAGACAATTATGAAATGAACAGGCATTGCTGTATTTCAACAAAATTTTATTTACAGAAACAGGTAGTCTACCAAGTACTGCTCAGCATAGAAACTAAGGAGTGATATCTAGCATATACAGTAAAGTGAAAAAAGCAAGGTAGAGAAAAGTGTGTATAGTGTGCTACCATTAATCTAAGATGGGAGGTGTTTGCCTATTATGGGAAGGAGGCAAACGGTGAATAGAAAGATATGGATGCTAAACTTCTTTGAATACACTGTGTTTAACAGATTTGACTTTGAAACTTTGTAGTATATATAATCATGAAACAAAATAATTAAAAAAGTCATCCCTACACTTCACAAGCAAAATGAAACAAAGTATTCATCTGATGCCACAGTACACAAAATGCAACCATAACAAGTGACTTTAAAACATTCATTTGAAAAACAGCCACATGGACCAATGGAAGAGAGAGCCAGAAATAAACACTTGCATATATGGTCAAATGATTTTTGACACGAGTGTCAAGACCATTCAATGGGGAAATGACAGTCTTTTCTAAAATGCAGATGCATGAGCAGGAACAAGAGACTGTTGATCTGAGTTTGGGGGCAGTTTGTTATTTCACATTATTGTGGTAAAAGCTAAGTGATGGAGCTGGTAACATCATAAAATGAGAGACAGTCAGACATTCTGTGTCTCCTGAAGGAAGTAGACACCACCACCAAAACCAAGCCTTCCCCAAAAAACAAAAGAGACACAGAACAAATCCAAATTTGTCCAATTCTCCAGCTCTAACTACAAATTACAGGGAATTCAAGGGACTAAAGGAACACATTCAACAACACCACTGGGATGAACTCAGCATCAGTGAGAAACAACAGGATAAACGACCCAGTTTTTTTCAACAAATAAACTGCAAGGGGGAAAAAGGAGAGATGGACAGGAAAATCTACAGATTAAGTGACTTCAGGGTCATATTAACAAATAACAATGTGTGGATTTTATTTAAGATCCTGATTCAAACTAACAAATTAGTATATTTTAATTATAGAACTAGAGAAATTTGAACAGTGACTAGAATCTGATAATATTAAGGGATTCATTGTTACTATTTTTTAGGTATTGTATCGGTATTGTAGTTATGTTTAAAACAAAAGAGTCCTTATCTTTTAGAGATACATCTTGAAATATTTACAATCGAAAAACGATGATGCTGGGATTTGTTTCAAAATAACCTCGTGGAAAAGGGAATACAGATTTAACAAGATTGGCCACCAGCTGACTGTTGAGGCTGGATGATGATGGGATCACGGAGGTTTATTATACTCTTCTCCGTATTTCTGGACTTTCCCATAATAAAGAGCAAAAAAAGGGGGAAACAACAACGGGCACCACAAAGTCAAATCACATGATCAAAGACACAAAGCAGCCCTTACATTTTCCCCACTCACCTGTTCTGTTCTTCCGTTTTTCTCGCTCTGCCTTTAGTTCCTCCATGGCTTGAGATTTCTTATCCAGTTTCTCATCCCGCTTGGAACGCCGTTCCTTGTTGTGGGACGTCACCTGGGAAGGGAAGGATATGTCGGATGGCTCCTTTTACCAACTGCTGATGGTAAGATTTTCCACACCCAACAATTACTCAATTCTCCACTGTGACTCTATATTGGTGGCAGAAACTGAAACTTGTTTAAGGGGAGAGAGCATCCTCTTGTGGACAAAGAGGACACAGCAGTAAAGTCAGTCCCTGTTTTACCTGCCTAACAAACAGAAAGCTTAAGAATTATAGGAATAAACACTTTCTGGAAAGACACCCTAGATATTATAGCTAACATATGTTGATACTGTCAACAAAGTTTTTTCTGATGGATGCAGAGGCGACTAATTTTCCCAACTACATTTATTACCAAGACCAGGATGACATACACCTGAGTAAACATCATAACCAATCTGGCTACCCGGGACAGGATGTTTACCAACTTTCCCTTAACGGATGCTCACACACCAGTGAGCTGCTTTTTAAATGCAGACTTGAGTGAAGAACTCCTAAGCAGTTAAACAGTGCAGCCAATGGTGAAACAATATATACAGAGATTAACAAAACCTGTAAGATGAAGACAACACGTAATAGTCTTGCACTATGTAGCTGACTAAGGTAGCTGACCAAGGCTGATCAACATAAACTCATCTTTTACATAAATACACACATGCACACTCAAAACAGAGGTTTTACTTTTTAGATAACAAGGATCATTGAATCTCTGACCTGAGATTCTTGAATCTGCGTCAGCTTTTTCTTCTCCTGCTCCTCTTCTTGCTTTTTCTTTTTTTCTTTCTTTTCTTTCTTTTTGGCTGTTTTTAGTTTTTTCTTGATTTCAAATCTGATTAAAAGATATTTGTTTGGTTTTTAAGTGGTAATGAAATACCTGTAAAGACTGATTTCTATTAGATAGGAGAAAGGAAGTAAGAAGGGCGAAGGAGTTAATGAACGTTTTGGCTTCCTACATGAAACTCAAATGTACCTTATAAGTACAACAAAAATACTGACTATAAGTACACCAAAAGTACTTGAAAACATTAAGCTGGAATAGACTTAAAATGAGAGAAAACATTCAGGATACTGCTGCATCCTGTTGGTAACACACAGCTCGTCCTCAGCCTTCATGTCATAGAAGAAAACAGCTGACTTCTGGATCAACTCCAGTGGTGTTCCATTAGAAACAGAATAAAGCCACAGAAAGCCACATCACATTTTTAAGGTGGTCAGGACAAAAGATGTATTTGAAAAATATCATTTTCCATCTTTCTTCATTAGGAAAAATGCCCCCTCAAACCAGCAAATACGTGAATAAATGTGCTATTCTCTTAAACAAATGCAATCTAGGCTCCCTCCTTATAATAAAAACCAGACTTTTATGAAACAAAACTAATTTTCTTGTGTGTATTTAAGGAACTTTAGGAAAGGGATAAAGAAATATAATAAACATTAAACTCTTATCATAACACTCTAAACTAACCCTAATTGTCATTTTGCTTAGTTCTTAACACAGTACTCAAATATTTTTTATGTCCTTTTCACTCATTATTAAGGTTGTTAATGTACTTTTATAAAGTGAGATAGGAGAGCACTGTTATGAATTTACTCCTTTTAAAAACAGTTAACAATTACACAACACACTCCTAAATAACCAATGGGTCAAAGAAATCAATAACTTGAGATGACAGAAAATGAATACACAACATACCAACACCTATAGGACGTAGCTAAAGCAGTGCCTAGAGGTAAATGTATTGCTGTAAACGCCTATGTTAAAAAAGACAGATTCCAAATCAATAACTTAACCTCCACCTTAAAGTAGGTGGAAAAAGAAGAGCAAATTAAATGTAAAGCAAGCAGAAGAAAAGAATTAATAAAGATTAGAGTGGAAATCAATGAAACACAAAAGAGAAAAACAAGATAATGAAATCAGAAGTTAGTTTTCTGAAAAGATAAAATTGATAAACCTTTGGCTAGACTGACCAAGAAAAAAAGAGAGAAGACCCAAATTACTAAAATTAGGAATGAAATCAGTTATCACTATTGACTTACCAGAAATTAAAAAAGATCATAAGAGAACACTACGAACAATTGTATGGCAACAAATTAGGTAATTTGGATGGAATGGAAAAATCTCTAGAAATTTACCAACCACCAAACCTGACTCAAGAAGAAATACAAAAACCTGAATAGATCTATAATAAGAGATTGAATTAGTAATTTAAAAACTTCCCACAAAAACAAGAAAAAATCCCTCAGGCCCAGATGGCTTCCCTGGAGAATTCTACCAAATATTTATTGATTTCTTTTCTTTTCTTTTTTTGAGGAAGATAAGCCCTGAGCTAACATCTGACCCCAATCCTCTTTTGGCTGAGGAAGACTGGCCCTGAGCTAACATCCATGCCCATCTTTCTCTACTTTTTATATGTGGGATGCCTGCCACAGCATGGCTTGACAAGCAATTGGTAGGTGTTCACCCAGGATCTGAACTTGCGAACCCCAGGTCTCTGAAGCTGAACGTGCAAACTTAACTGCTGTACCACCAGGCCAGCCCCTCTACCAAACATTTAAACAAGAATTAATACCAATTCTTCACAAACTCTTCCGAAAAACAGAAGAGGAGGAAACACCTCTCAATTCACTCTGTAAGGCCAGTATTATCCTGATACTGAAACCAGACAGTAACATCACAAGAAGAGAGAAGCGCAGACCAATATTTCTCATGAACACTGACACAAAAATCAACAAAACAGCAACGAGCTGGATCCAGCAAGTCATAAAAAGGACAATACACCATGACCAGCTGGGATTTATCCCAGAATTGCAAGGTTGGTTCAACATAAGAAAATCAATCATTGTAAGATACCATATTAATATAATACCTAATGGTGAAAGACTAAATGCTTTCCCCTAAGACTAGGAACAAGAAAAGGACGTCTGCTTTCACACTTCTATTCAACATGGTACTGGAGATCAAGAAAAAGAAATAAAAGGAACCCATATTGGAAAGGAAGAAGTAAAATTTATCTTTTTTTGCAGATTACATGATCTTATATATAGAAAATCTTTAAAAATCCACCGAAAACTATTAAAAATAACAAATGAGCTCAGCAAGGCTGCAGGGTACAGGATCCATATACAAAAATTAATCGTATTTCTATAAACTTGCAATGAACAATCTGAAAATGAAACAAAGAAAACCATTCCATTTACAATAGCATCCAAAAGAATAAAATATTTAGGAATAAATTTAACAAAACAAGTACTAGACTTTTACATTAAAAACTGTAAAACACTTTTGAAAGAAATTAAAGAATACCTAAATAAGTAGAAAGACACCACGTTCACAGAATGAAGGACAATATTGTTAAGATAGCAATACTCTCAAATTTGATCTATAGACTCAACACAACTCCTATAAAAATCTTAGTTGCTTCGTTGTTGCAGAAATTGACAAGCTGATACTAAAATTCATATAGGAATGCAAAGGGTCCCATAAAGCCAAAACAATTTTGAAAAAGAACAAAGTTGGAGGACCCACACTTCCCAAGTTAAAAACTGACTACATATCTACAGTAATAAAAACAGTATGGTACTGGCATAAGGACCGACATACAGATCAATGGTATAGAATTGAGAGTCAACAAATAAACCCATATATCCATGGACAACTGATTTTTTTTTTTTTTGGAGGAAGATTAGCCCTGAGCTAACATCTGCTGCCAATCCTCCTCTTTTTGCTGAGGAAGACTAGCCCTGAGCTAACATCCGTGCCCATCTTCCTCTACTTTATACGTGGGATGCCTACCACAGCGTGGCTTGCCAAACGGTGCCATGTCCGCACCAATGATCCGAACCGGTGAACCCCGGGCCACCGAAGCAGAACGTGCGAACTTAACTGCTGCACCACCGGGGCAGCCCCTATGGACAACTGATTTTTGACAATAGTGCCAGGACTGGGGAAAGAACAGTCTCTTCAATAAGTGGTACTGGGACAACTGGATATCTACATGCAAAAGAATGAAGTTCAATCCCTACCTCGCACCACATACAAACATGATCTCAAAATGGATCAATGACTTAAATATAAGAGCTAAAACTATACAACTCTTTTAAGAAGACATAGGGGTAAATGTCCATGATGTTGGATTTGACAAGAGATTCTGAGATATGATACCAAAACCTTCAGGAAGAAAAAAAATCTCACTTTATCAAAATTAAAAATTTCTGTGCATTAAGCAACACTATCAAGAGAGTGAAAAGTACAACCTACACAATAGGAGAAAATATTCGCAAATTATACGTCTGATAAGGGTCTAGTAACTAGATCATATAAAGAATTCTTATAATTTAACAACAAAAAGACAAGTACTCCAGTTAAAAAATGAGCAAAGGACTTGAACAAATATTTCTTCAAATATATATAAGTGGCCAACAAGGACATGAAAAGATGCTCAACATCATTAGTCAACAGGAAAATGCAAATCGAAACCACAATGAGATACTATTTCACATCTAAGAGGATAGCTATTATCAAAAAAAGGGAAAATAAGTGTTGGCAAGGCTGTGGAGAAACTGGAACCCTTATACATTGCTGATGGAAATGTCAAGTGGTGCAGCTGCTGTGGAAAACAGTTTGGTGGTTTCTTAAAAAGTTAAACACAAAATTACCATATGACTCAGCAGTTCCACTCCTAGGTATATATATACCCAAAAAAACTGAAAGCAGGTACTCAAACAAATATTGGTACATCTATGTTCACAGTAGCACTACACACAATAACAAAAAGGTGGAAACAACCCAAACGTCAATCAACAGATGAATGGATAAACAAAATGTGTATACACATGCGACAGAATATTATTCAGCCATTAAAAAAATGAAGTACTAATACATGCTCATGGATGAACTTCAAAAATATACTAAGTGAAATAAGCTAGTCACAAAAAACTACACATTCTATGATTCCATTTATATAAAATGTCCAGAAATAGGCAAATCTATAGAGACAGAAAGTAGATTAGTGGTGGCCTACGGCTGGAGGGCTTGGGAGGAAAGAGAGACATGACTCTCACTGAGTACAGGGTTTCTTTCTAGGGCGATGAAAATGTTCTGCAACAGTGTGGTGATAGATAACACAATTTTATGAATATCTAAAAACCATTCAATTGTACACTTTAAATGGGTAGATTCTATGGCGTGTAAAATATACCTCAATAAAGTTATCTTTAGAAGTTAACAACAGCTTATATTTACATAATGTTCTTATACGTATCATCTCGCTTAAAGCTTACAACATTCCCAAGGAGGAAGCTGAGGCAGGAAGAGGGTAAGTGACTAATTCAGATCACCTGGCCAGTGAGTGAACTGAGCCTAGACCTTCTTCTGTTTGAAAATGTCAGTGCTCTTTCCACACCTAAGCTACATTTCACGTTGCCTGCACTCATCTTAAAAAAAAAAAAGAAAAAAATTTAAAAAAGAGGCAGCCCTAGAATAGGTGAAGAATCTAACAACTGAAAATGACATCTCACTCCTGGTGCAGCCAGCTATAAATGGGATGCTAAAGGTGCTTACATAAAAAGATAGTTATTGTGGCCTAGTGGGTAAGTTCGCACACTCCACTGCAGCGGCCCAGGGTTTCGCTGGTTCGGATCCTGGGCGTGGACATGGCACCACTCATCAGGCCACAGTGAGGCGGCATCCCACATGCCACAACTAAAAGGACCCACAACTAAAATATACAACTATATAGAGTGGGGGGATTTGGGGAGGAAAAAAAAAATAAAGATGAAATGAAATCTATAAGACTTTCATTAAGTGAAAAAGATGGAGGAAATTTCTGAGTTACTATACTATACTGCCTTGCGGCTAACAAATGAGCTACAAAAAAAATCTCTATTTTCTGTGAAGGGCTCTGAACTTCTGTCTTAATTATCATCACTGTAAACATTCTTCTAGTGACTAAAAAAAGTCACTGAGTCAGTCAAATGACTCATTCATATAAGGTGAAAAACACAAAAACCAAGCTTGAAATAAACCAGCCGTGACTCGAGCTACTCTGTGATTTTATCACAGGGTTCTATTGACCTTATCTGAGGACCTCTTGTTATGCTCTCCACAGTTCAGAAATACAAATTTTCGCAGTCATCTCTACCACCTGGCAACTCTGACATAGTTTCTTAAGTGCAGTTTGTTCCAGTACAGGTAACCTTGGAAGCATTCACACTCAAAACAAATGTATTACTTGCTCCTGACTGAAAGCCAAACATTCTTGTCTAGGATAACTCACCACACTTAACACCGTCTCAGAAGGGACAAACAGGCTCCCAGATGAAATGGAACCAACTGCTGCCAGAGCAAATGCTTCTATTTTTCTTTCACGATGTTAGGGAGGTAGGGAAGGAGCCTAGTTTTGAGGACTATTTTATTTCCTGAGACAAAAGCCAAGTTTATTTTTACCTTGAAATTCTGTCAGAAAGTAAGGAAGAACTTTTGCCATTTAAATATGGCAAAAGTAATTCAGAATACTGAAGCAGCTTCTGAATATCAAAAAGCAATTTAACATTTGAGTTTTAAAAAAAATACAAAAAGGATAGTCAGATACCTAACTTGTAATAATGTAAATAATGATGAGAATTTCCAAATCTTGAATCCTGTGAAGACAGTGTTCCAAATGTGAATTGTAGAAAATTATTTTATCATTAAGGAACGAACCACCTTACCTTCTTTTCAAAACCTCCCTCTTCTCTATGCGGTTGAACAGTTCTTGCTCTCTCTCTTTCTCTGTCATCTGTTCCAGACGGGCCCTGTCTTCCTCATCTCCCATGAGGTCTTCTCCATAGCCATCATGGAACTCTTCATCTTCTGAGGAAGAGTCTGAATCTGAACTGGAGGAAGAGCTGTTGCTGTCAGAATCTGATACTTCACCTGCAACAAAGACCCAAACATAAGATTAAGCTATGCTACAGAAGACTGAGGCCATAGGTGAGCCGATAGTGTTGATAATCACTACCTCTTGGTTCTCCTAGGTAAAGTGGCACATGGCCATCTCAACTCCCTTGGGAACAGTCTTTGGTATGCCTTTGGCAAATGCAAACACAGGTTATGGAAGTTTAGGCTGAAATAAGTAACCAGCATGTTCTGTCTCTCTTTTTTTTTGCTGAGGAAGATTAGCCCTGAGCTAACCTCTGTGCCAATCCTCCTCCACTTTATATGTGGGTCGCCACCAGAGCAAGGCTGACGAGTGGTGTAGGTTAACTGAAGCAGAGTGTGCCAAACTTAACCACTACACCACAGGGCTGGCTCCTCCAGCATCATCATCATTTTTTTTTTTTGGGGGGGGGAAGATTAGCCCTGAGCTAACATCTGCTGCCAATCCTCCTCTTTTTGCTGAGGAAGACTGGCCCTGAGCTAACATCCGTGCCCGTCTTCTTCTACTTTATATGTGAGATGGCTGCCACAGCATGGCTTGACAAGCGGTGTGCAGGTCTGCACCCGGGATTCAAAGTGGCAAACCCCAGGCCGCTGAGGCAGAACATGCGAACTTTAACCACTACAGCACCAGGCCGGCCCCCAGCATCTTCTTTTTAATTCAACGTTTTTATTTTGAAAAAATTGCAGACCTAAAGAAAAAAGTTTATGAACAGTTTGACTCCTATACATCTTTTACTTAAGTTCACTCATTGTTAACACTGCCAACTTACTTTCTCTCTGTCTATATACATAAAACAACATACATTTTTGTTATTTATTTGCTGAACTGAGAGTAAGTTGCAGAGATTGTGCCCATTGAACCCTAAATACTTCTTGTAAAAGGGCAGTCTCTTAAATAACCAATTATACAATTATCAAACTCAGGAAATCTAACATTGAGGTAACACCATTATCTAACATACAGTTCATATTCAAATTTCACCAACTGTTCTAATACAGTCCTTTACAGCCACTTTTCAGCCAAAGGAGGACCCAATTTAAGACGGCACTGCATTTGGCTGCCGTGTCTCTCTAGTATCCTTTAATCTGTAATAGCCTTTCTTCATCCTTCATGACACTGAATTTTTAAAGTGTATAAGCCCAAAAATGACCTAATAGAATTTTGTGAGGTGATGATGAAAATACTTTCTCTCTGAACAGCAGCCACCAGATGTGGCTACTGAACAAATGAAACGTAGCTAGTACAACTAACTGAGAAGCTCAATTTTTGCTTTTAATTTTTAATTACTTCAAATTTAAATAGCTACAGTTAAATCTGGGTTGGTTGGGTTCAACAAGAGCTATTCAGGTTATGAATTTCTGGCAAGAATACTCCCTAAGTGATTGCGTCCTTCTCAAAGCATCACATCAGGAAGCACGTGACTGACTGTCCCATTACCAGTGATATTAATTTGGATTACCTGGTTAAGGTGGTGCCTCCCAGATTTCTCCTTTGTAGTTAGTAAGTCTAGGGAGATGCTGTGAGACTGTGTAAACATCTTTTTCCCCAACAAACTCTCACCAAATGGTTTTAACACTCACTGATAATTCTTGAGTAAATCAATTATTACTATGATGGTTGGAAAATGGTGATTTTCTAACTATCATTTCTTCTACAATTATTAGTGGGCATTAAAAAATATCAGTGTTTTAATGAGCCAATAAACTGATTAGTGAATTCCTAATGAAACTAGATCTTGATAGGACAAAGGTGGCATGGAAAAAGGGAGTATATATTACAAACGAGTTTTAAGCTAAACTAGCAACTTCATAAACTGTGCTTGACTCAATCTGAGGTAACATTCACAGACATGTGCTTACAACCAGGTTAGGTCAATTCTATACAGGCCAGTTTGTATATAAACGTAGGTTTTAAAAAGAAATGTAAAATTTACCATTTTAGTCCTGGAACAAGTATACTTTCAAATTAGTATTAGCAAAAATTCTGGAATTGGTTTCAAAATGAGAACATTTTTTACTGAGCTTTGTATCTGGTTCAAGGATTTTTCCTCCTCAATCAGACCACGTGCAGCCAAGAAAAAGGGAAGGCACTCGGTAAAATGAGCGGAGTCTCATGCAGGGACTCCTCATGGGTTTCAGGGGCTTCAGGGTTAGCCCTTTGGAACCACATGTATTTTTCTCGCTCATTCAGATTCTCAGAGGATCCCTGACCACTGAAAAGGTGACGGCCCACTGCAACAAAGGCACAGGCCGTGCTGTAACGCAGGCACCTCCCCCTCCATTTCCGACTCTGCACCTTCAACCTGCCAGGAGTGGGTGTCCACTCCCAGGGTCTGGGCTGCTTGGCTCACCTTCCTCAGGGGCTGAGCTCTCGGCTGAGCTGTCTTTGTCCGAACTGCCCGAGGAAGCAGTTTTGTTGGTCTGCTTCTTCAGAGTTCCTTTCTTCTCTGTTTTTCTGGCCTTTCCTTTCTTCTTATTTTTATTGTTCCCAAATGTCCACTACAAGGAAAAAAGAAAAAGAAAACTGAAATGGGGACTTCATTGGGAAAAGCTGGCAGATTCAAGAGTTAAGAGTCTCTGATGTTCATTGAAATGATTAGAGCAGTCTCTATGGCTTTGAACCCCAAACAAACACACTTTATATGGAGAAAGATATGGATTTTTGAACGCTTGGTTAAAACTTCACAACTTCTGGTTTGTAATTTCTTAGAGATAGTAGATAATTGATATAATAAACAAAATGTAATGTACTTTTTATCACAAGAGAAAAACAAAGATACAAACTTTATGGCAACTCAACTGAGTTAACTAAAACTCAGTACAGAAAACAGGCTTCTAATGTTTCCAGTGGCAGAGAGGGCAGTAAATGCTAGGGGTTGGTACGCCTGGGTTTCAGTACACAGAGGATGGTTTAGTTCTGGAGTGGATCCCAGGGAGGCAGGGAATAAAGCTTGTGTGCAGGAGAAAACTGCAGAAAGCACAGGGAGAAAGGATAAGGGCCACTCTAGCATGGATAGTAGTACCGGTGCCAACTCCAAGGAGGCAGAAAGTAAAGTAGATCATTATATATGTGTGTGTGTATCTAATTTTTTAATCTGCATCCATTACATTACAACATAACGTTTATTTTTTGCAGTAACACTGATTTATATTATATAAATTTTGAATGTACACCATTATATTTCGATTTCTGTGTAGATTACATCATGTTCACCACTCAAAGACGAATTGCCATCCATCACCACACACATGTGCCTAATCACCCCTTTCCCCTCTCCCTCCCCTCTTCTCCTCTGGTAACCACCAATCCAATCTCTTTCTCTAAATGTTTGTTTGTTTGTTTGTTGTTTTTATCTTCTATTTATGAGTGGGATCATTCGGTATTTGACTTTCTCCCTCTGACTTATTTTGCTTAGCATAATACTCTGAAGGACCATCCAAGTTGTCACAAATGGCCAGATTTCATCCTTTTTTTTTATGGATGAATAGTATCCCATTGTGTATATACACCACATCTTCTTTATCCATTCGTCCCTTGATGGGCACCGAGGTTGCTTCCAAGTTTTGGCTATCGTGAATAATGCTGCAATGAACACAGGGGTGCATTATCTTTATGCATTCACGTTTTCATGTTCTTTGGATAAATACCCAGCAGTGGAATAGCTGGATCGTATGGTAGTTCTAGTCTTAATTTTTTGAGGACTCTCCATACTGTTTTCCATAGTGGCTGCACCAGTTTGCACTCCCACCAGCAGTGTATGAGAGTTCCCTTCTCTCCACATCCTCTCCAACACTTATTTCCTGTCTTGTTAACTATAGCCATACTGATGGGCATAAGGTGATATCTCATTGTAGTTTTGATTTGCATTTCCCTGACAGCTAATGATGTTGAGCATCTTTTCATTTGCCTGTTGGCCATCTGCATATCTTCTTTGGAGAAATGTCTATTCAGATCTTTTGCCCATTTTTAAATTGAACTGTTAGTTTTTTTGTTGTGGAGACGTATGAATTCTTTATGTATTTTGAATATTAACCCCTTATCAAATATATGGTTTGCAAATTACTTCTCCCAATTGTTAGGCTGTCTTTTCGTTTTGTTGATGGTTTCCTTTGCTGTGCAGAAGCTTTTTAATTTGATGCAACATAACGTTTAAATTGGATCAAAAATAGGAGATCCCATACATCTAAACATAAGGAACCTGCCATTTGCATTATCAAAGTAAAAGGCAAGCAATACACAGTTAGTTAATCACCCCAGGGCCAAAAAAATCATCTTCATCAAGTACTTTAATTATAAGGCTAAAAGACCACATGATCGTTTTAAAACTTCACAAAAACTATTCAGTTACATTAAACCATACCTCCTTTGAAATTTTAACTTGTGAATTTAGGAGCATGATTTTAGGTGAAAAATACTTTACTTGGGAACTTTATTTTATGTACTATAAAGAATAATCTTCATCTTTCCAGCATCACAGATTGAATTATAAATCTGGTATTAACATAAAATTTCTACATCTAATTTTTTTTTTTTTTTAAAGATTTTATTTTTTCCTTTTTCTCCCCAAAGCCCCCCAGTACATAGTTGTGTATTCTTCGTTGTGGGTCCTTCTAGTTGTGGCATGTGGGACGCCGCCTCAGCGTGGTCTGATGAGCAGTACCATGTCCGCGCCCAGGATTCGAACCAACAAAACACTGGGCCGCCTGCAGCGGAGTGTGCGAACTTAACCACTCGGCCACGGGGCCAGCCCCTCTACATCTAATTTTTAACAATAACACAAAGTCTTTGCTCCTTCTGTAATGTGATCATAAAATAACCTCCTACTTCCCAACAGCTAAAATCATAAGTAAATTAATTTTGGATTTTTTTGGGGGGTGGGTAGACAGGTAGTTCTGATGATGTTTCCATCTGAGAAATGTTTCATATGAGCTATTCTTAAGAACCACAGCCTGCTAGTTTACCTTGACAAAATATTGTGAAAGGGTGCCATTTTAACTTCTGATTTTTCGTTTTAATTTACTGTTATTGTTTTAATTGCCACTATTTTTGTACTCGAGCTAGAAAGGGACAAGTGAAAATGAAACAATCACATGTTCTAGAATGATACATTAAGTGAATGAATAATGACTTCTCCGTATAAGCAAATTTACTTCTCAAACTTTAACATTTCAATATCTAGATTATTTAGAAAGAAATTCTAATGCTTCTCTTCTAAAGCCTAGCTGTCTACCATCTTAAATTTTAATCATCCAAGGAAGATAATTTTTAGGTCAGTTTGAAAGAATGCAAAAGAGGCTAAAGTGTTCAATTTCTTAGTTAACTGAGCTAAAATATATCAACTTCCTATGCTGACAATACAGATATTACTGGAGGCAAAATGTGTAAGACATCTTTTGCATTGGCTTTGATCACACACATAATACAAAGTCAATATTTATTGGTTGGTTATGAAAATGGGCATCACCCACCTCTTCCAAACAGGGTGTCTTGGCCTTTTGTACTACTCAATGGAAATACGAAGAGGCCCAGAGTGTGAAGGTTGAGCTACCAGGGTCACATGTGTGTTCGAGTGACCAGGTCTATTTTTGCCTACAGATTTGGGTTTCTCATGTGCAATAGAGCCAAACTCTGAACTCCCTAGGGGAAAAAAAGTTTTTATGAGAGCCAAGAAGACCTAAATGTGAAGTCACACAGGTGAATCCAATTTGGGAGGTGCTAGGAAGCTGTCTGGCTTCCTTATCCTTCACCATCTATCTGCTTCACTCTGCCACTGCCTGAGCTTGGGAACTGTCACTCATTGGTAGTCTATGAAGTTTATCCTTTGGGGGAGAGGGAGGAGAGAGAAGAGTAAAATGGAAGAAAGTAAAATATTTTGATTTAAAAAAGCCTTTTCTGGTTAAACCTGAATGTGGGAAGGGAACTTCATTGTTTTTCCATCCAACAATTTTCAAAAGAAATAAGATGACAAAGCTGCCTCACCTCCCATGAGGCTGACTCAAGAGTCTGTGATGCCAACAGCAAACAATCAAGCTTACTATATGTGACAGGGTTTTAGGGGAATTATAATAATGCAGGTAACTTTACTTCAAAAAAATAAAATTTCTTACGAATATAGCTTTCAGTACTGAGAAGCCAGATTAAGATACTTGTAAATTTACTTTCTAAAAAAGTGTCTTATTTTTGGCAAACCTTTAAAATCTAATTTTAAAAACACTATATGTTCATTATACGAAGCTTTGTAAAAATAGAAAAGTATTTTTAAAGCTAAAAAAAATCACCTATATTCCTACCACCCAAAGTTAAATAATCACTTGAAATTTGGGGGCCAGTCTCATTATTATTCCCATTTAATATAGAGAAAGCAGACTCAAATAGGTCCTGATAATCTCCCAACGATTTTTTTTCTGGACAACACATCACATTTGTAATATTTTATGTTCACTCCTATAAACCAGAGCTTCCTGAATGTTCTTTGGGCTAAGCATATATTTTAAATTTTTGTCCAGTACCTCTTCTCCCAAGATCATAGAATCTAATAAACCATTAAGGAAATGGTCACGGCTTGCGGTGGCAAAATCGATATAGAAATATTTTAATCCAGTCATTAGCCCAGAGATTGCTCACCTATCCCTGCAAAAGCTTTATTCTGTTGACTCTGAGACAGAGGGAAAATGAACTCTTCTTTCATTGCCAGAGTGTGATAGTAAATGGAGTCTAAAGAGTAAAGAATGGGATTAAAGGATGCTCTTAGGCTTCCCCCATCCAGCAGAGAGTAGAGGAAATGCCCTGGCTTTTCTTAATTTGTTTTGGGAACTATGGCTCTACTGAAAGGCAAGCTCTATTGTAACCTTAAAACAGAAGGCAAGAACAAGAAGAGTGCCTGCTGACCTGCATCTGAGTAGAGGCCAGAGCATCCCCCAATGAGAGCCGCTCAAAAACAACCTGGGAAAGGGAAAGGATCCCTTGTCAGTCAGGACTCTCCTACACACTGACATCCTGCTTTCTCAAGCAGTCTACCTGTATGCAGGCCCACACACAACACCAGGGAAGTATCATGTATACATGCAGTGAAGAAAACCGAAAACAGAGACTGGAAGGAAAATGTTTTCTTAACTAATAAATTAAGAGAGATTAGCAGTTTGACTCTCACTGATGTCACAGATACTCTAACGGACAGCAACTATCTAACGATACAAGGAGGGTTAGTCCTACACGACCCTGTGCCAGCCTGAGTGTGTGTGGGGTGTTATAAGTAGGTCCCCCTTACTCTGGGAAGGAGCTGACCTTCCTGGCACTCAGCTGAAAGACAGGAAGGAACGTCGGGTGGGAAGCGGTTGCTTTGGACTTGGGTAGCATTGAGATGCTGAGTATCTGAGCATCCTGGAGGCAAAAAAGCAAAGAAATTTCAAGATTTCAGAGAGGTTATCTCTAATGGACAAGGAAGATCATATTCTAGGTCTCAGGACTGAGGGCAGAACCATTGCAACCCAGTTACTCC